TAGGGTGTGGTGTTGGGGTGAGAGTAAGGCTTAGTTTTGTTGTCTTGTCTGGTAGTTGTTGTTCTGTCCTTTTAGTTTGTAGTATTGGTAGTTTCTAGTGTTCGTTGTGCACTGAATAGTGCAGGGTTGTGGTGTGAGCATGGCAACTTCTTCGGATGTGGCAGGCTTTATTGCGGAGCCCTCGTTGGGTTCATTGGTTAACCTGCGTAAGGTGGATTTGTTAGCGCTAGCGGACCACTACAATGTTACAGTTGAAAAGCAGGCTCGTAAAGAGAAGTTGGTAATGGTGATCAAAAGCCATTTATTGAGTCTGTCTAGGGCAGGTGTTATGGCTGTGGAGGATGTGGAAACAGGATGAGGAGGCTGAGTGCCCCGTAGAGAATCTCTCGCCAGCAAGGCCAAAGGGCAGTGTTTGGGATGGGGAATCTCCAGTGCCTCAAACTCTACCAAAGTACGCACCGTGGTCTCCTGAGTTCTCAGAGTCTGTAGAGGTTGCTCGGCTAAGGCTGAAAACGGCCTGGCTGGAAGCAGACCAAAAAGACAGGGAAGACAAAAGGAGGTATGAGATGGAAATGAGAAAAATAGAGGCAGACAAGGAGGCTCGTATTCACATTCGACGAATGGAGCTTGATGCTGAGGGCTCTTCTCACCCAGTGGGTAAGACCGGCCATTTTGATGTGGGAAGGAATATTGCGGTGGTTCCCCCATTTCGTGAGTCTGAGGTAGACTCTTATTTCTCTGCCTTTGAGCGGGTAGCTCCTGCTCTGCAGTGGCCAAAAGATGTCTGGCCTCTAGTCTTACAATGTAAGCTAACTGGGAAGACCCAGGAGGTCATGGCCTCTCTCTATAGAGGACAGTTTACATTATGATGTGGTCAAAGCCACCGTGCTGCGTGCCTATGAGCTAGTGCCACAAGCTTATAGACAACGATTTAGAAATTACAAGAAAAACAGTAACAGTGCTGGAGGATTTTAAGAACCACTTACCTGAAAGAATTGTGCATCTTAGTGAAAACAAAGTGGCGACGCTGAGTCAGGCAGCAGTCCTGGCCGATGAATATGCCTTAACGCATAAAACAGTTTACAGCGTCCAGTCAGAGCAGGACATCCGTTTCACCCGCAGCTGGTGCATCTCGCTCTTCAGACCCTCCTACTGTTCCAAGGAAAGAGGACAGGGAATCTTTTTATTGCCACCAGAAAGGCCATTTAATCGCAGATTGTCTCTTACTCAAGAACAAGAAGTCACCCCCGCTGTCCCGTAAGAGTGTTGGTTTAACTCAGTCTGTTTCTTACCAGCAAGCTAGAAGTGCTAGCGAGGCTTTCGCAGGAAAACCAGACCTGGTGTATGCTCCGTTTGTGTCTGTCGGGAGTGTTTCATGCACAGGGAGAACTGAAGACCAGAGAGAAATTAAAATCCTACGTGACACTGGTGCGGCTTAATCTTATCCTTGCAGATGTGTTGCCCTGGTCTGACCAGACATGATGTGGTTCACACATCCTTTTGTGTGGCATTGAAGCCAACCCAATTTCTGTGCCTTTACACTGGGTTCATGTGCATTCTGATTTAGTTTTAGGTTGGTCCGTGTTGGGGTGGTGCTTACGCTAGCAGTGGAAGGGGTAGCACTATTACTAGGAAACGACATTGCTGGAGGTAAGGTGTCTCCAGTACCAGAAGTAACAGACAGGCCACAACCTAATGGTTCTGACATTGTCTTGGTTCAGAAATACCCTCAAGGGTTCCCTGCATGTGTTTTAGCAAGGGCACAAGCTCGCATGCAGGGGATACAGTGAATTTGTCTATTTTTGAACAGGTTGAAACTGTGGAGGTAGAGCATAAAGCAGAGAAATTACCTTCTGTGCAGGCTGTGAAAGGGGGATGCGGAGTCAATCCCCAGTTAGGTGATGTGTTGTCATCCATCACACCAGAGAGACTGATTGAGTGGCAAAAAGAGGATGTCAGTCTTAATAAATGCTTTGATTCTGTGGTCGCTTTTGAAAAGGCAAAAGTACAGGAGACTGCTTACCTTGTGGACGCTGGTGTTTTAATGCATAAATGGACTGCGCATAAAACGGGTGAGCACTGGGATACAGTTTGGCAGGTAGTGGTTCCGTCACCAATGCGACAGCAAGTGCTGTCACTGGCTCATAACCCTGCATGGTCCGTACATTTAGGGGTAACTAAAAGATACAACAGAGTCCTCTGACATTTCTTCTGGCCAGGATTAAAATCTGACATTGTGCAATACTGCAAAACCTGTCATGTGTGCCAACTTACAGGGAAAGTGAACAAACCTGTTCCTCGTGTGCCACTTCACCCGATTCCGGTGATTGGAGAACCGTTTGAGCGGGTGTGGGTCCATTACCAAAAACTCGAACCGGTAACCAGTTTCTGCTTACCATTATGTGCAGCGTCGACTCCAAATGCTTGGGAAAATGTCTAACTGGCTGACATGATGACTGTTTTCCTACTGACAGACGGGCTAACTGACTGAAGCAGATCACAGACGCCTCTAACAGCGTTGTGTGAATTTTGACAGCACTGTGATGCTTGCACTCTTTCTTCAGGAGACCCGGCTAGAACCCAACATATTTCATCATGCCTCATAATTTGTGATACAAGTTGATGAAAAGGGGTTAGGTCCATTTCACAGACATATTACTTTATAAATGCCGTTTTAGAACTTACTCCATATGTGATTTCTGGTCAAATCTTCACAATTCAATTGTCATTGAAGGGATCATACTTTTGAATATTAGCAGACAAAGCACCTCCAACAGACTAGAACAAACGTTCTGATTCTACAGTAAAACAGTAAACTAAAGTAATTCTTAGAACGTTTTCGGAGAGAAATTATCAACTGAATTTTGATTCATATTTTATCAGCCTGGTTTGACAGTTTCATTGGAGTTGCCTAACCAAAGATGATTAGCATCATTTTAGAGACTTCTAGAGAGCTGTAGCCAGACCACATCTGTGCCCGTCCAGAAGAGTGAAAGGAAATGCATCCTGAGATGTTGAGATCAACACAGAGCTGGTCTTTGTGTGTACAGCCGCTGGCACAGTCAGTGGTCCCGAGCACTTTCACATCAGTTCACTCACTTCACTGGGATTCAACTGAAAAATGGGAAGTTAAACAAGACACACACAAACATGGTAATGGATTAAAATGTCTCGTTGATCGATTCAATGGTAGGAGGTGAAAAATGAAGTATGAAGCCTTCATGTGGAGTTCGGGCTGTTGGTAGAAGAAATGCTTATTTTTCCTCCATCGATTTTGTAAAATGGAGCTTGAATTTGAGTATATTATTTTGGGCATTTCTGTGCATGTTTCTGGTATTTATGAGCAGACCCACAATGTGTATTGAACATGGTGGGACCTTTTCAGACTTGTGTGCTCCAACCTTTCAAATAGTATATAATGGCAGAGAAATGTATTTATCGGAAAAATATTCTGTGTCAATCCACGTTTGTTGCTGTTTTTAGCCTTTAAGCAATTCCACTGCCCTCCAAAATAATTGTTCTGCTCTTGTTTTTGTGACTAAATGTAAACGCTTCATTCTTGTAGTACCAAAGAATGAAAACGGTTTCTAAATTAAACTACTCAGAAAAAAGGTCTTGGAAAGTGCTTTTTCTGTTTTACAAAAATGTCACCTATGGTTCCACTATATTTGATTTGAAGGGCTAAACAACAGCAAATATAGAATTATACAAAATTGTTCATTATCATTATTATTTTAAATATCTATCATATTACTATTACTGTCATAATAAACCAACATTACCTTTCCTGAAGTCTTTGTGCCCCCACCCACCACAGGTTTCTCTGGATGGTGGTTCTATCTGATGGTGGTTGTCCCTGCAGTGGTCCTGCCATGCGCCTGCTTACTACTCGCAACTATTTGAATCATTTCTGTTATAGGAATTGATTGTATTATACATCTTTTACTTTGTTCATTCTGTACACATCATCCATTGTAGTCTGTCCATCCCGGGAGTGGGATCCTTCTCTGACATTCTCACTAAGGTTTCATCCCTTTTTTCCCCATGGAAGGGTTTTTCATTTTTGTTGGGGAGTTTTTCCTGTGCCAATGTGAGGCATGTGTACAGACTGTAAAGCCCTCTGTAATTTGTAATCTGTGATTTTGGACTATACAAAATAAAATGAATGCACAGCCATCCGTGAGGAGCTTGGAGTAGAGCCGTCGCTCCTTTGCGCAGAAAGAAGCCAGTTTAGATGGTTTGGGAATTTGGTAAGAATACACCCCAGGCTGCCTAGGGAGGTTTTCCTGCCACAGCCAGCTAGGACAAGGCCCCCCCAGGATGACCCAGGATGAGGTGGAGAGATTACATCTCCCCACTGGTCTGGGAAGGACTTTGGATCCTCCAGTCATAGCTTGTGGACGTGGCCCGGGAAAGGGAAGTTTGAGTCCCCCTGCTGGAACGGTTTCCCCCGTGACCACAACCCCTGATAAGAGGTTGAAGATGAGATGCGACGAGATGGGAGGGATGTGTCGGATTAGAAGGACAAAAACTGTCATATTGTTTCATCAACAGAATTTACAACTTTTATTTAATTTATTGAAACATTTAAAGGCAACTGAAAGATAAGATCTTCCTGGACCTGAAACAAGCAGCTTTTTCTTCCTCTGTGTTTCCCACAGTTCCTGGAAACTCCCGCAGCTTTCTATAAAGAAAACTTGGTTGGACCGCAGCTGAATTTGAGACGTTGTTGAAATGTTGATGCCCAGATTCCTCAGGCTATCTGGACCCTATAGGGACTGATATCAAAATAATGTGGCTACTTAACCATATGTCTGTAACCATATGTCCGCACAGAATGAAAAACGAGAAATATAATATAATGTGAACTGAGGAGCAGAGTCAAGCCTATATTTTGGGGTTTCTAGAATGTTCTGACACATCTTGAGCAGGAGCAAATTATTTTTAAATGTTATAACACTGACTCTTTAAAATGATAAGAAGTGACACATAAACACATATGAATTTATTACACAAGTATTTTAATTGTGATTCTGCCATGCACATTCCTGGCCAGCCAGGGTCCATTTATATAAATCTATTAACAATTGCTGGAAACTGCTGCATAAAATAAATCAATATGTTACAATTACACTATTTACAAACAGGTGAATATAATGATTGTCCTTTATGAAAATATAAACGCTTGAATGACAAATATACGATTGGCATGCAGAATCTGTTTCAGCATATACTGGTTACTGCTCATATTGCTCTTAGTATGGCTGGCAACGTGTTAATGAAAATGTTAATGAAAAATAGCATTGTTGCTATATTAAATAACCACTTTGATATAAATGATATATGGAGGCAAAGACTCAAAAAGAATTTGATACATTTGAAACATCTCTCTTTATGTGGGTATGGCCTGATGTATGGTAAATCATATTTAATATTTAAACAAATGTATGATATTATTAAGTCTATCTTCAATGTGCAACAATTGAACCATAGCCACATGGGTCATTCCCAACAAACACAACGCTGCTACACAGCTCAGGTAAGCGTGCAGACCAGCACGTGTGCCTGGTGCTCGATTTGTTGCGACTTTAAGAAACCGGAAGTGGTGTGGCCATACTAAATCAAAAATTATTTTTGTACAATCTCTGAGGTTATAAAATGACCTTCAAGTTGGGAGCAGAGCTAAGTCTGGTGCTGTATGTTCTACTAAGTGAAAAACCTGAAGTCATGATATCACGTCTGAAAGAGGCATGGCAGCCGAGTGGGGTTATTATGGTCAGCACCTGAAATGTAGATGAGACGTAATGCCAAAGATATCCCAGAGCATCATCGCGAAAACAGCCTTTGCTGGAATGTAATTTGCCACGGGTTCCTCGTGACCAAACTGAGAGGGGAAACCTTGAGAAAAGCCACGTTAAACTTTAAGCATCAGAGGTCAAGGTATTTATCGCAGCAATGAATGTAATTACAGGTTGCAGGATGATAATGAGTGGGTTTGCTGGATGTGAAGTGGCCATCTCGCATGGTACTCTGTCCGTTGAGAGGGTGTTTTTCAGATGACTGCAAACACTCTGAAGGCTTTTCCACCCGTTGGGTTCAGTAGGCTGGAAGAAGCACAGCACGCAGAAAACAGAGCGCTGTTGAAAATTGTGTTATGTTTTCCGAGCAATAAAAGGTTCTTACACTAAGAAGTGTTCTAAGACTAATTGCAATGTAGGTAGTTACAGATGAAACTCTGAACTCAAAACTCAAAAGGTCCCACTTAATATCAAATAAAATACACAAAAATATGTATACATTCACATTAGTTTTTCTATATATAAGCTGTTTCAACTACTTTTTTGTGATCATACCTCTCTGAGGTGATGCCATTCTGATAGCTGCTACTGTACTGCTTCCTTTTATCAACAGGCATCACATCGAGGTACCCTCCTGACTCATTCTGGATCACCCCAGCATGAACAGCTGCTCGGCAGATGCTGGATTTCTGAGTTGAAAAAGAGAGGTTACATCAAACTTTTTCTATTAGAAACAAAAAGAGGAATTTCGACTGATCTCATTTTATCATCAGAATTTAACTGGTCCCTCTACATGTGCATAAAAAGATGTATTTTTTATAATGGGTTGTTATATTTGTTTTATAAATCAGGCAATTCATGTGTAAAGTTATTCATACGTTTCTATAATAGCTCAAAATGCAACATATTGTAAAAGTACATTTCTGATTACTGATAAGAACTTACATCTGAATAGTATTTTGTCCCAATGACTCGGGCCACACTATCACGCCGACAGTTCCGTGGACAATACGACCTGAGCAAAAAGATGAGGAACACTTTAGGTCAGAGGATATATTAACTGGAACTACCGTGTGTTCTTAAAGGTCTTAAAGGCAGAGCTATCTGCTGGCCAAAAGGATCTAATGTGTTGAGTTTTCACTATCAAGGCTGGGTTTAACACCTACAGCGTACTGGTTTGTCAATAAAAGATTCCGAACTGTAACTATTGTAGAATTCTGCGCATGCCAACTTTTTGTCATTGATGGCCAGTTTTGCTGCTTTTCTTTGATTTGTAAGGGAACATGGGCCAAAGAGGGAACCTCTGTTACTTACAACGACTGTGACTCATTGGCTCGGCTAATTGCAATTTAATTCAGACGTTGAGGTGTTTTCAGACTCCCGAGTGAATGAATGTAAGGCAGAATGGTACCTGGGACAGTGTCGTATGGGTTTCTTGAAAGGGCAGAAAAGTGCAACGGTCGTGTCGCATGATAGTGCCTTGACTGGGAGAATAGAAAAAGAATCACAGCAAAATTACATGTGACTGTATTTGTGTCTTGAGAGCAAAAATGATTGTTTTCTCCTTACCAGGCACCGACTCTATTTTGAAGGAATTTGCGCTTCTATTTTTCCTGTTAATTTAAAGAAAGCTTTGTTAAGTTATGTGCAAATTTAATATCCAGACTCAATCATCATTTTTTGCTTAGTACTACAATCGATTGAGACTGATTCATACCCAATTGATTGGATGCCATTCTTGTATGACTTAGTGAATTGTTGCTTTCTGCCCACTCTGGTCACATCCAGCCATCCTCCGTCATTGTCAATAACACCAGAGTGTAAACCGGCTCCACACACGCTGGATTGCTGCAGTAAAAGACATTAAACTGGACTTAAAGTTAACATAACGTACTATTTGATTCCAGGTACTGTTGTGTTTCCTGTAAAAATAAAAGGCTACCAAGGAGCTTGTTGTGGATTTTTATGGTGTTTTCAGTACCCAAATCTGCTAAATGGGCATTAGCCCGCCCCCATTCCTTCACACACAGCAAATTACAGATACTAGTTTAACGTGGACCACGGCAGATTATTTTATACATTTTATACAATGGCAAATACAAGACAACCATAAAGACGTATTTTTTTGCATTACAACTTTAAGAGAAACATTCATTTTTCCGTTGACACAAAAAGTGGTCTCTGGGAAACCTTTACCATGTCATAGTATCCCGTCCCAACAACTCTTCCAGGACTGTCGAGGCAGCCTGGCGGACACTCGTATCTATGGACAGGAAACACTGATGTGAACATGTCTGTTGATTTGTTTTTAATAGAAACACATACTCTTTTATTTATTTTACTATATTCAGTGCATTAAATTATATTCTCTTCTGTCCTGATAATTGTTACTATCCTCAACCATCTTATATATTCATTTTGTATCACATGTTTCTCAGAATTGATATCATTATTTTGCCATCTTTCCAATGCAGTGTCATCACGCTAATCAGCATTCTTACCTGTTACAAGTCGTCCCCTTGCACTGATCTCTCAGCTTGGTCTCACAGTCGACCTGTTGACCTGATATACAAATAAACGAGGGCCTTTCACAATTATTGATACTAGTAATGACCTGCAGTCTCATTGCTGCACCATTCAAACAGATGTGGTATGGCATCCTTACACATCTGCTCCGTGCTAACAACCTGGTTTCGCTCAAGGTTGTCATTGGGTGAGGGATTTGGTGTCTGGGCCCTGGGTCGGGGTTCCCTGTCCATAACTGGTTCCGGTTCTGGTTCAATGTAGTTGGTCTCCTCAATCTCAGGAGCTGGACGCCTGTCAACACCACCATCTGAAAAGATGCACTAGATTAAATCATGTTCTTCGTAGAAGGGGGACTATCAACGGGGTAAATGTTGTAAACCACTAAAACAAGCCCATTTTCTTTTAGTGAAATTAAAAAACAAATTGGGGTCCGTACAAAGGTGTATTTCAAACATGTCAGAAAACCACAACTCGAGAGACGCACCTTTGTAGCAGAGATTGTCCCTGCAGCCTCCAGCATAGCTAGCTGGACATGCAGAACACGGAGTTCCATACTTGTATGGAGCATGACCCCACCAGTTGCCTCTGGAAAAAAAAGACAATATGATATTTTACATAATTTGATGTAATCTCTCAAAAGCCTTTGACCAACTTTCCCAACAATTACAGTGGTACAGATTTTGGGACTGTCACTATCTTGTTTTCGTCTCTTGTTTGGAGTTATTACAAATAACAAAGTGAATAACTGATTTTCAGATATCAGACATCATATATATTATAATATATATAACAAGCAGAAACCTACGGTGGAGAGTAGTTGCAGACCAGGTAGACAGCTTTAGTCCAGATCATCCCCCACACGTTCATGTTGTAACACACATTGATGGCACAGCCGATACGATTGCTGGTAGCCCACACCAACTGAAAAATAAAACCCACATACAAACAACCAACGACGTGTGTTTCGTGGTCCTCTCACATTTGTTGGGGCTTCCAGATCAAGGGTATGCCACCTAAGGCACAAGTACAACCACCATCAGGAGGGACTCTGACCAAAGAGACATTGGTATTTGGTATGCAACATTGAAGTGCCTCATCTGAACGCCAAATTAACGGCATGTTATTTAGTTAGTTAGAGTGTTTGTGTTTCAGCCATACAACCCTTTTCTGATGGGATTGGCAGGACCAGTTCTCCACCGTACGCCTCCCTGCAGGTCCATAAATACTGTCCGAAACCGCTCCTCCTGTTACGCCCCTATAATCCCTCTCTTCCTCCTTGTTTTCTCCTTCTCTCTTCCCCTGTCTTCCTCTCCTTTATGTGGGGTCCTGAGGGGGTTTCCCTATTAAAACTACCCACAACTAATTTGGTTAACAGGAAGAGCTACACAAAGTTCAAGCATTTCAATCCCGTTTACCTTCAATAAATTTGTTAAACACTTTTTCTTTTTTTTCTCGCTTGCTATGGAATGGCACTTCATTTAAACAAGGCAGCTGATCTTTTTTGCGAATAAAAGCAGTAATTGCGCAGCTATCACAGTAACAAAAGCAAAAGACAGGGAAATAAAAAAACATTTTCACCTGAGTATAGTGAGTACAAACAGGTCCTGAACATCTGAATGGGCAGTGTGGGTTGCATTCCTGGGAGTAAGGATAGCTGTAGTACCTCACCTCATCATACCAGGCCTGGACATGGTAGGTAGGGGGGCGATCCCTAAAGTCACACCAGAAACGTCTTGAGAAATAGTATGAGACCAATATTCATTCCACCTTTTAGCTCTGTCTTTTTGGCCTCTAGAAGATGCCACTATGTTCATCGGCTATTTTCCAACTGTGTCTGTCTAACGTGATTTCAGCCCCACAGGACATATTTTGGCGTGTGGTCAGAAGCCCCCAGCGTCTTTTCCTTTTTGTGTAGCATCTTGACGCAGATTTGTGCGTGGTTAGCAGAGTGACACGTGGTTTACGTTGTAAAACAAATGCAGTTGGGTTTAGGCCACAAAACTATTTGGTTAGGCTCCTGCTTTGGTTTAAAATACATACGCAACTTAAGCTATGTATGTAACATCATCTGACTCAGTAACACTACAATTCTACACCCGTTGCATTTGAGCTGAAAGCCCAATGAGAAAAAACATTTATTAAAGGATATTGTACATATTCTCATGATAACACAAGGCATATAAAACATAGCTTAAAAGTTCCCTCCACGTCTGTATACACACCTGCCCCAGTGCGTTCCAAGGTTCTGGCCTATTTGTGTCAACATGTGGCTCGGCCCGTGTTCCCATCGGCAGGTATGTGCCCAGTGTTCCGCGCTCCTCTCTAGCTCGGTATCCCATACCTGAGGTACACACACAGAACATCACTCAGGTTCTGGATTAAAGGGTTATTTAAAGCATATGAACTCTGCTAGGGTAAGCAGTTAATATACTAATTTCAGTTGTTGCTCAACGCATACGTTTTGGTAATATTAGATTACTCTTCGAGCAGCTTTGCCTCTGACAGATGTTTTCAGACCTGAACCTCTACTCTAGATTACCCTCATGGTTTAAGTGGCCTAAGTGGCCACTTACTGCAGTTGTGGCCTTAAGTGGTACTCATTGCACCTTTTCAGATATCTCATCGCCTTTTTTGATCAAAATGCACCACAAAATGCTTTACATACTTTAGGCAAAATAAACTAAGTGCATACATTGGCTGCATGCCCATCGCAAATCTAATACAGTATGGTCAAAACTACGCCTCTCCTACACACATTTACAAACGCACAAACACACACACACACACACACACATACATGAGAGAGAAGGAAACAGAGAGGTATCACCACCACGACATAAACTTGGAAGCCTGGAACTATTCAATGTGGTTCTTTCATAGCGTATTTCCAGTAAGTTTTGTGTCTTTTAAAACAAAAAGCTGAGAACTGAAAGCTATCACAAATGGAGTCACTGTTTCCACTACAGTTTTTCTTTTTACTCCATTGAAGTCAAAATACCTGAAAGCTATTTTGAACAATGCAGATCGTAGGTATAAGGTTGAGCAATTCAAATGTTGCAGCAAGACTAAATCTACGGTTGAATTTGTTGAGGAGGGAGAAGAAAGGCTGCAGTGTGTTCCACCACTGGCGTGCTGTTTGGTTGCATTATGGCTATCGCCCGTCAAAAACCAATGGAATAATGCTCGAGTGTGGAGTTGTAACTGCTCTGATCTCACCATAATGCGTTCCATGTGTTTGGTAGCACTGACACACTGTTACCCATTCACTGTGGCTCTGCTTGCTGTTCAGGCCTGACTGGAGATGGGATATCATGGCCCTTTAATTCCCCAATTTGGCTGACTCTGAGATCACACGGGTGTTTTTCTGCTCTATCCTCCTGCAAGGTTGACATGCAATGCTATCTTTTTATGTGATCATTTCATTTTAATGTATTGTTTGTCGAGAAAATCAGGGAAACATGGATACATGCTTGAATTGTGTAGGGTTCAGTTGTAGTGAATGGCATGCGGAACGAACATTTGCAGGGCACAAGTAATTCTATGGGCAGACTGAAGGCAGCTTCTGGGGCGTTTCTAGGATTCAAAGGAAGAGGGGGCTTAGTGGGATGTTTACATATACACTGCATAAAAAATGAAAGGATCAATCTATGGCATGAATGCAATTGCACTTCTCTGATAATGATCTAGTCAGGTAAGTAGCAGAAAGGGAACTTAATCACTTTCAGCTGCAGTGGTGTTGATGGAATTAACAACAGGTGTGGGTCAGTGAGGCACATCTGGGGAGGACCGCCCACCTGCACCGGCCCTGTGTCACAATTCTTTAAGTTATGATGAAGTTCAACTTCAGCACAGAACTTTCACTGCGAACAATCTACAATGCATACTAGGGAGCTCTACCAGGTCATTATTCTCTCTGTGTTCTTGTTGGAAGATGGACTGTCCGGCAGCCGAAAGGTCACGGTAACAATTTTGTTCAGCATTCCAAAGAGCATTAAGTGCCCAAAATACAAAGCTGTTTCGGGAACCACCTCTCCTGCAAAACTAGGGACAATATATGCAGTCTATATATGCAGTCATACAGCAGATAAAAGGAAGAATGCATTGGAAATTCAATATACACAAAACTTGTCTCTTAAATACTTGTAATGTAACTTGCAAGTGGTTGGTGGGATTATAGGAAACCTTAAAAGAAGTTACAGGAAAATAGGCTTGACAAGAAATGACGTGCTTCCAATTTAAATTGACGTAAAAGTGTTTTTAAAAGGCTTTTGTATGGGATTAAGAAGTCCGAGCGGCAGTTAAAGTGCAGCTCTTTTGGCCTCCAAAATCCTGCAATCTGAAAACCAAATACTTGCCCCTCATCAGCAAACGGCCGTACCACATCATTATCATCAGTAACAGTATCCCTGGCTGAACAAACACTGGATTGTGCATGACATACGTTTACACTTCCGTGCCCGCACTCCAAACGGCAAGGCATGAGATGTTGGAAATTGATTCACTGCCGTGGCACCCAAAATGAGAAGCACGGAGGATCAAATAAACAATAACATCGGCCCCGGTTTGAGCGAGCCGGGCGGAGAAAAAAAGCCAGAGGGGAACGCTTGTGAGTCCGAAGATCAGGACTGCAAAACAGTGAAGCAGGAAGAAAGAGAATCAGCAGGAGGAGGAATGGGTAGACCGAGTAAGGAGACGCGGGGCAGGAAGCGAGGAAGGGAGGGAGGGAGGGAGGGAAGGTTGGTTGAGGTAGAGGGCAGGACAACACTGCAGGGGTTGAAAGCTGGAAATGGGCCAGGGTCAGTGAGGCCGTGCGAGCAGGAGGCAGATGCTGCAGCTAGCCAGATGGGGGCTTTGGACTGCAGACTGTTCTCTCCGTCGTTCCTTCTCTACTCCCCTGGCTTTAGCGAGCAGAGCTAGTCAGGAAAGTTGTTAAGAACGAGGCTAACAGGCAGCAGACAGAAAGGTGTCGTTGCTATGATGATGTGTAGAACACATAGATAAAACTGAATAATAGAGCTCATAACTTTTAGTATTGACCTGTTCCATTTCTCAGCAGAAGTTGGATTAGCCGATGTGTTTGGCAAATGTAGCTCCCCCTCAGGTAATATGAGCAGGACAGGGCTCCTAGCTTTGACCTAAAGCTCGATGGCATCCACAACCGACTTGCACATAGTTGTGAACGGGGCTCTTTCTTACCAACAAACCAATACAACCAAGCTTGTAAAGCACGTGATTTTCTTCTCAGGAAGTAGCACTGGGTTATGACAGTGTGTGAGCTAGTTAGTTAAACATGCTAACAATTGCAGCTTACGATGGAAAACACATTGTGCAACCAACTCCTTCATTTTTATTTGGGTGGGTTTTTTGTCCGTTTTTTACGGGGATAATCCGTTTTCCTCGAGGCCAATGCACACCACTGAAGCTTCCGATGGCGAGGTCATGATCGCGAGCCTCTGATGCTACCCAAACTCTACCCGGACCTGAATCAATCTCCCCACAGTTTTTTTTTTATTTCCCTGTTATGGTTGCTTAAGTATGATTGGTCGGCCTTTCATAAACAGTTGATACAAATGAACTACCATACACATGGAGTATATACCTACCATATACTCCATGTTGGAGGCAGGAGGGTGAACCTGCCCCCGCAGCTTGTTGTGCAAGTCCAGGATGAGGTGCATGTCCCCCTCGCTGATGGCCCTCCTCCCCCTCGACCTGGCGCTCCACCACTCTTCGTCCCTGTACTTGTCCAAGATGGACTCCAGCTGCGTGGAGTTGGTGAGGACGATGGCCAGGGCAGTCTGGGTCAAACATAGGAACAAGCCTGCTCTGACCGGGCCCGGCAAAGGAAGAGACCTCTTCATGACGGGCAGAATGCTGGTGCTGACTAAAGAACCCTCTTGGAATGGCTGCAAGACAGAGACAGGGAATATTGAAGTAGAATAACAAGAGTTTAGATTTCAGTCCCATTACAGTTTCCTCGCAGCTGTTGTTGCACCAATGCACAGCTCATTGCATTATTACAGTAGCTCATTATTTGATGGTTTAATTTAAATTGATCATTGCACACATTAATTTCTCCCCTTTCTAAACATGCTTCGATTGAACTACAGCATCTTGAATCTGTCCTCTGTCTCTGTTTAAATAATGCGGTAATCACAGGGGGACTCCACTTCAAACACGGAGTCTAATACAGCTTCCAGCAGCCTGAGTGCATCTGCAGGTCACTGCATCACTACGCACAGAAGGACCAGTGTGAACCCAGTTTTCACACGAAATAAATTTAACAGGCATGCAAGTTACTACTGTACATGCCAACGTGCACTGGCAGGGAGGCATGTTTTTGATAAACAAATACGATCATAGTTTTTATCTCTTTTTCTTTTAATGACCATTTTGAAAATGAATTTATATGGTTGAGTAGTAATTTAGGATGGCAAAATGGAAAAGTGATCACTTGTAAGTAACACATTTGCACAAGCAGGTTCTAAATAATATTGGCCAAGTCATGACACACTGGCTACTTAAAGTTTACCTTTAAATGACTCCAAACTGATCAAAATATCTCCGAGGTGCAATATTCCAGATTACTGCAGAGCGAACGCTTTCCAATCCGTGGAGTCTTTAATTCCGTCCATCACACAGAATGCGTGCAGCGCAGAGGGCCGACAGAGAGAAAGAGGGAAATGTCAATAGGTACCTGTTGAATTCCTCGACTGGCTCAGTGCGCTACTGGCTGCTCATTTTGCGTTTATATGCCAAATTTGCGTTTAGCTTGGCAACGCGCAACGCACGGAACCACGCCTCCTCAAACTCTCTTGCACGCTCCCCCTTACCGCACCCCCATCACACACACACACACACACACACACACACACTCCATAGTTGATCTATTTGAGGAGGCACCTGATCGCACCACAAGTGACATGAAGGTAAACACGTGGTATTTTTGAGAGCAGCCTACTCCAGTTTTCTACTTTTTGTGTGATCAAAAGTACCTAATAATACGTATGATATAATAGATTATAAAGATTCCTAAGAAATCAACAAATCACTTATTTCATATTTTATGAAATTATTTTATTCATATTTAATTTATTCTCACATTCACTAGTAGAGCCTTTTGTTGGTCTGGTGTCACTATGCCTATTTTACAGTTTGCAGTCATATTTTTAATTATTGTACAGTAACAATCATTTTCACAAATCCATCAAAGATCCCATTCATGAACATTTGTTTTCCTGGAGGGCTGATCTGAGATCACATCAGTGTCCTTTGCTATGTGCGTGTGTGTGTGTGTGTGTGTGTGTGTCAGTGTGTGAGAGAGACTGGCAGCAGCAGCCAGCAGGGTGGCCAGTATTCCCCCGCAACGCGACCACAAAGCAATGATTCATCTGCCTTTTACATACACTAGAACATTTGTGAAAGTTTGTGGCCGATGTGTGTGTTTGTGTGTGTGTGTTCGTGTGTTTGTGTGTGTGTGTGTGTGTGTGTGTGTGTGTGTGTGTGTGTGTGTGTGTGTGTGTGTGTGCCCTCTCTCTCTCACTGCTTCCTTTGCCCGAACAAGCTCTGTTCCTATTTGACCATCAGCACAAAGAAGACTTTTGAGTCGGCACCGAGGTCCAAAGGTAAGGCAGACAATGTGCAGAAACACAACAATGCATATCATAATTATATTGACTGTCCCTCAATCTTCCAAAATGATCTGTTGCTTTTGTATTATTAGTTTCTGTCTGTCTGTACATTTTCAAAATGCTCCCACATAAACTCATCAATTAACACTTTATGCCTCCTGCCTGATGTTTCAGATGATCAAACACAAAAAGATATGCAAAAGAGAGACAGTCTGCCAATGGGTGCCAAGGTGAATCCATCATTACTCTTTTCTTATTTGTCCTTGTAGCATCGTCCTAACAGGTAACATCCCCAGTTTCAAATAAATATTTACATATGCATATTTGCATGTGTATAGTGTAATATAATATAGTGTGCACTTAAGTACCAGACAACTTTGATTGAGTGATGCGAGGATCATTTCAACACTTCTGATAATGTTATTTCTTTAAGCATCTGCTGCCCCCTAGTGGCTGAAGACGAGTATATCATTAAAGATAATTAAATTAAAAAACATTTTAGCGAGGCATCCTTGTGTCAGTGGTCTTTGAGCTTAGTGTTCATCCCCTTTGAGACCTTAAACGAGTAAAAGACAAGAAAGTTTACATGAGCTGTCGCTCTGCTGTCTGTCTGCTCGGCTGAATCAGCTCCAGGCTTTCTGAAGGGAACCTGCAGATTTAGAAAAAGACATACAAGCAAAAGAGGAACATGGCACATGATTGTGTGTAAACTTAGTATTTTAGCATGTGTATGTGTGTTTAATCCAGGATCATCAGTGATGCATATAAAGGATAACATGCAGAATGAGTTTTTAGCGTCATAAGAGTTTATGGGCCTACCAGAAATTCTGGAAGGGTCATAACATTTTCTTCAGCAAGAAATAGATACAGCTTCCACTTTCAGACATTATAGCTTTTGGGGAGGAAACACCACTTTTCTACTTGTAATTAATGATTTTCTAAAAGAAATCAAACACCCTGGAAGCATCGTTTTGATAACACGAAACATAAAAGAGATGGGTAAGCTCACTAAGTCATTTATCGAGACCCCAAGTTCATTTCCATGTGTCCTTGGGTTAAAACACTTGAACTGCTCCAACGGGCTGTGCCCGCGGTCTATTACGTATGAATGAATGTCTAAATGAGTCTGGACCATGAAAGGGCCCAACAGCACGCGCCCGGGGCAGTTCTCAGATGCCTCGGCCCAGTTTGAACGCGACCTTATATCAGCTGAGAGGATTAATGCAGCCTAAAGGTGGAGCAAAAATTGCGAAGGTTTGCACGGTAATCCTTTGAGCTCCGAGGGAGGCAGAGGGAGAGGGAGGCAGAGAGACATGTCCAACTCTTTGTGGCGCATGTTGTGAAGGACCGTTTTCCCAAAGGAAGAGATGTTTTATCTACGACTGTTTAATGGCAACATTTGCGCCTGAGCTCTTTATCCTCAGGGAGTAGAAATGGAGCCCAAACTTCTGCTGCCCATCGGTGAGTTTATAGCTGTTTTATTATTTATTTAATTTTATTGTAGACGATTTAAATTCCATGTCTTTAAAGAAATGGTGTTCTTCGTTGATGCCTCTTTATGGTGTAGCTACTTGTATCACTTGTCTATTGTTTAAGACTTTATATTTCTGAGAAAACGGTTTTAAGCAGACTTTCGACAAATAGAACAAACAAAAAAATCTTGATTGTACTTTTTTTCTCAGTTTTAGCGGCAAGCCTCCTCTCGCTTGAGCTGTCAGGGGCCTCAGCTACAGAAATAAAAGCTCAAGGTACATCATTCCATCCTGACACACTGGTCATTCTTCACTTTGAACCATTTTCAAGACTTTGGGTATTTTTGGTTATAGCACAGTGACAGCACTGCTACATAGAGCAGCCTAATATCTACTAAATGTTTAACATTTTCACTTTGTGCAGAAAAAGAAAGATGAGTGCAATTTGGCTCTGAGAAGCGCTAAAACCATTTAATTAATGTATTACTACTGTATTACAGAAAGGGATCCAATAACACAAACATGTCATCACCCAGTTCATACGGATGAGCACAACATAGTTGATTGTGCCTCTTTATATGTATATTGTTTGACACAATGTAAAAACAGGACTTAGCTTTGTGATGCTAACAAACATGCTGTTTGACTAAAACCTGCTTATTTGAACACAGAAAAAAAGTGATAAATCAACAACCAGTCCACAGTCCGGATTGTGACTTTCATGAGAGTAACCAACACAACATCAACACAAAGAGCTGTCCATCAGTGGTGCGTTCTTGTGTTCCTCCAGGGAAGAACATCTCAGATGTGACACCAGCGGGGCAGTGTGGGACCTGGGTAAAGGAGCCGGACTGGGGGTATTTCACCTCTCCCAACTACCCTCAGAAATACCCTCCTGAGAAGGAATGTGTCTACATCATAGAAGGTGAGGCCTTCTCACTGGTCCTTCACTCTCACTCACTTTTTCCCCCCTCCTGACTTTAATCTCCCCATGTCCCCATCCCCTCTCGCCCCGCTGCAGCCTCTCCCCGACAGTGCATCGACTTGTTCTTCGACGACAAGTACTCCATCGAGCCGTCCTGGGAGTGTAAGTTCGACCACATCGAGGTGCGCGACGGGCCGTTCGGTTTCTCCCCCATCCTCGGCCGCTTCTGCGGGGAAGACAGCCCGGCCAGCGTCCGCTCCAGCGGGAGGTACCTGTACATCAAGTTTGTGGCTGATGGTGAGCTGGAGGCCATCGGATTCTCTGCGCGGTACAACTTCACCCAAGGTGAGTGATGGAGGACAGGTTAAAGGGTAGAATCGGCTGTACAAAGGAAGCACACAGAGAGCGCTGCACGGTCATGCTTCACTGCAAACGACCTCAAATAGAAGCCCAGTAGTACAAGCTAAGTAAGAGACTAGACAGTGACGGCACATTGAGACAGACATTTTCCTTAGTAGTTGGTGGAGACCAAACCAAAGCTTGAAGTAGAGAGAATATTGAACTTACTTCCTGTAGGTGGACACAAAAATTGCTAGAAATGACAGCTTGCGTTGCTGTGTGTCTACTAAATATGCATTGACAACTGTATGTGAAAACATTAGCGCAGTAAAGTGGGCAGAAACGTTTCACATCTCTCAATAGATAATGCATGTGCACTGGCAGGATTATCAAGGTTCACGTTCTTCTTCAATTTAACCAAACAAGTTCTACCTTTGACAACTAAATGTTTATTGTGACCTCTAACCTCTGTTTGTTATACAAATAAGAGAACTGGAGCTGGGTTATCCAACATGTTCTTTGGTTACATAATCTAATTTATAGAGGGACGTAAAAGTGAATCACCCAAATTCAGTTTCAAATAATCCAACCGGCAAGGTTGCCTTTCTCAAGGGTTGGCTCTCTTGATATCCATCAAGCTCTAGTTCAATTAGAAGAGCCACCTGCCCCTCAATAACTAACATTCACACACTGCAGTCGCAGCTACAGGAGCCATGTTGGGTAAAGTGCCTTGCCCAAGGACACATTGGCATGCCTATTAAGTCGCCCTTAATGTTATCTGTTGGGTAGGTTTGTGTTAAACAGCAGCATTGAGTATTTAAGTTATCACAGTAATCAGTACTATTAGTAGTGTCACTTGGGTGGAGATGACTATGGTCATGTTTGGAAAAGAGAGCTCTGAGAGATGTTTAGTTGACTCGTCCATCCACCCCGACCTTCCCCCTACGTCCCACAAACACATTTCTTCTATATTGTTGATCTTGTAACGTACCAGCTGGTGCTCTGGCGGGCTGTCAGGGATGATGTTTAGATTATTACAACAACTCTAAGCACTTTAACTCCTCTCCTTGGCCCTCTCTCCTCCAACCCTCCACCATGCAGTGAGTTTTGCATTGCCTCCCTGTTGACTGCCTCTATTACACAGTCCGCTTTGTGTCCCAATTAAAACACACGTTGACACACATTTGCAGGCGATGTCACACATTGGTCTGGTGGCCCGCTGCTGTGAAACGTACTCTTGTTTCCGTTTGTAGCAGCTGTAGCTAACAAGGGAAGAGGAGGGCAGCATGTTTGAGAATGCACGCGCACACACACACACGTGGGCACTTGTTCCCACAGCCGCACACACACACACACACACAAGTGGACACTTGTTCCCACAGCCGCACACACACACACACACAAGTTAATGAAAGCTTGTCTTCAGGGGAATACAGCTTGTCAGCGCTGAGCCGCCGCAGCGGCTTAAGGGAGTCCAAGGCAAAGGCTTCATTAGCAACAGATTTTATAGGCCACCTACACTGACGGGGGGCAAAGATTAATCTGCATCCCGTCCTGCCGTCTTCTTTCTTTCTTACATGCTGCTGGGGGCTGATGTCTGACTATGCATGTCATGAGTTCAGCGCAAAATTCTACAGGGCCTCTCATCTCAAGTCACTAAGCACACAGTTTTTGAGACGTACTTGGACATCAAGTATCATCCAAGTGACAACTCTTTTAGAGTGAAGATAAATGTGCTGAATCTAGCGGCAAAGTTGGCAACGCTGACATCCTCCCACCAAAATGACATGCGCCTTGTATTCTGCCGTTAGAATAATCCCAAATAACTTTGGTGTCATTTTAAAACACCTGTTTCTTATTGTTGAACACATAAACGCTGTCTTCTGAATCATGTTTATCTGCACTGTATTATGGTCTGTAACTCTCCAAATGATTTGAATGCACTGTACATCTTTTACGTTGTTCATTCGGTACACATCCATCGCGGTCTGTCCATCCCGGGAGAGGGATTCTCATTCTCCCTGAGGTTTCTTCCCCTTTTTCTCCCCATCAAAGTGCTTTTTCATCCCTGTATCATATATGTACGTGAGGGTTTTGGCAGAGGGGATGTCACATGTTTACAGACTGTAAAGCCCTCTGAGGCAAATTCTAGATTTTGGGCTAAACAAAATAAAATGAACTGAACTGAATAACTATGGCGAAACAATCCAATCTTATTTCCCGCAGATGTGCCTGCCAGCAGCAGCCTTCATGGAATGCATCATCCAGATCTTGATGTCTAAAATAATTGTCTCAACTCTTTCAGAATAACTATATAAAACAAGCCCAAAGAGCATCTAATTACAAGGATATACATGGATGGATTATCATATACAGTAGAACTAGGAGTTTGAATCTGTGTGAATCTGTGTATGGATCAGAATGTATTATTGTGATTGATATGATTATTATTCATAATCAGAAATTGAATCAATTGAACCAGTAAAACATGGAGCATCAATCCGTTTCTTAAGCGACAAAAACTTTACCAACAGCACGGAATGTGTCGGCTTTCCCGATGCATCACAAAACGTCTGTGGGACAGTCAATGCTCGGCTGTGGTGTGTGGTGTTCACCATGTACGGCTCGAGAAGGTATTCTGATAGTTCTCGTACAGGAAGTCATCATGATGATAATGGATCTTGGTGATCTTGAATAACTCTCTCCCTACGAAACACCAATCTACCAATATCGCTCATCATTGGGATCCCTGAGGAAGAGCTGCTATTTTTCTCCGGGGGCGAGGCAATCTCATCTGGCTAACTTAAGTTCAGTTCTCAGTTTTTTCAATTTTGTGGATGTGTTGTTATGGTGATTTTGCCAAACTTGCTTTGAGCCTGAAAAAAGCCTGAATCATGTAACCATCCTGAAAATGATCTAACTCAGCTAACCAGATACAAAGAAACGGGCCTGGAACTGGATCAATCCGCTGCGGCCCGGGGGTTGGGACCACTGCAAGAGGTCCTTTCTTTTTGTTTCACCCTCCACCTCCCTTCATTTTCATGAGACCTACACATACCTTTCCTTACTTTCTTGAAATTGAATAAACTACAACTGTCATTGATTTAGATGACTTTAACCGATACCAGCTATGGAATATAGCCAGCTCAGACTTGTTGCGTCACAAGGTTTATAGTTTACCCACCCCTAAATTTACCAGTACAGCCCTCGGTGTACTGACAGGTAATCTGTCCAATCATTTGATTTGAGTTGGATCAGATGAGTGCAATGCAGTCCGCTAACAGCCACCGTTTATTTTCGCCCAAAACATTTGATTGATTTATTGCTGTCAATACATTTTGATCAAATATAGCAAAAAAAGTCTTCAATATCTACTAAAAACAAACTATCCATTTAATTCGTTATTGGCAGATCAGGGAAAGCTGCTTTGGTTTGTTTACACCAAATGTAATGAGTTTCCTCCAAATGCTAATCGCCTGTCTAATTCCGCTCCTCAAGGCCTGCAAGAGAAAATCTGTTCACCCACATACTGAGGAACATTTTTACAAACTGCAGTAGTTTGAAAATGAAACATGCAAATCATCAATAGTATATGACTGTAACGTTCAAAGATACAAGGAAGGATTTATATATTTATTACATAGGATATTATTTTGCTCCTACACTTACATGATTGGGAATAATCTGTACAAGCCTGAGCAAGAGGCAGGGCTAAAAAACGGGAGAGGATTAATAATGTGTTGAATTGCTGATGATCACATGACAGATGTGGTATTTGGTGTTTGATTAGATTTACAAAAGTTACAAGGTGTCTTATTTGGTATTTAATTGAGGTTCTTTGATGTCAAACTGTGTCTCTAGGACAATTTAGAAAACTCAAATGACATTTTTACCACCCGGTTGCCACTGATGGTCGGGCTTAATCCCCCCCGAACTAAACCAGGATATCAGGATGTTTAATCCAGCTAGCAAGTAGATTCATCAGCACAAAGGTTTAGAACACAATTTGTCTTCCCTGTCTCATGCTGTCAGACAGGGAAAAGAAATAGTGTGTGTTTTTCCTTTTTTTTTGGATGAAGGGCATCTGGGGAGTTGAAATGAGAGCAAGGGGAATGTGCTTGTACATAGATTAAGGGTAAGCCTTGGCCAGCTGTGATTTGGTTTTGCAATATGTCTTTAATATTATTTTTATTATTCTGCGGTATTTTTTGTCCACCGGATTATTTTCCTTAGGCTAGACTAAATGTAATACAGTGAGTGTTGCCTGCACGCATTTCAAATACTTCAGCGAAGCTTCACATATTTTTAGAGGTTAGCAGTTTCAAATCCCATCCAGGTACAAATAAAGAGAACTCGTTTTGTAACTATCAATAATAATGTGCTTTCATGTTGCACATATGTGGAGAGCTTGAAATTGTCTAATCTTCATATGGCCCATGAATGTGGAAGGACTTGAGCAAAGATTTACATGTTTCCAAAGTCATTCTGTTCTGCTTTTAGATCCGGAGTTCAAGGGGCTTGGAGAATTGCCACCTCTGCCATGTGAGCGTTTCATTTGTTGTTATGTCACAGATTCGACCTGCTGAATCCTTGTTTTTAGTGGAGGGATGATAGTGACGAAAACCCTTTTTTACAATTTCACATTGATAACACAGTTTGTGAGTTTGAGATGAGCGGTCCGGAAGGCTACGTGGAATCCGTACAGATAACCGGAGAGGGCCGGGCGCTGCCGACTGAGGCTGTGGACTGCCGGTGGTACATCAAAGCTCCGCCGAAATCAAGGGTCTGTACTTGTCAAACTGTTGTTGGTTTTATGTGGTGGTGTGGTATGTAAATGATTTTCAGATTTGTTTGTGAGTGTTTAATTCAATTAAATGCCAGTTCGTCCTACTCATAACAAAAACGTTTTTTCTACCTCTGATGAGTCCCTCGTTGGACATTCTGGATATATATTTCAAATGCATATTGTAGATTCTCCTATCTGCTTAACTTGGGGATTGTTTTTTCCTAGAAGCTCAAAAGCTTTCTGGATTTAACCCGCAGATCTACATGCGCTTTCTGGAGTATGAGATGCACAACTCTAATGAATGCAAGAGGAACTTTGTTGCCATCTATGATGGCAGCAGTTCCGTTGAACACCTGAAGAATAAATTCTGCTCCACTGTGGCCAATGATGTCATGCTGGTGTCCTCTGTGGGCGTGGTGAGACTGTGGGCAGACGAGGGAAGCAGGAAGAGCAAATTCAGGATCCTATTCACAACTTTCCATGAGCGTGAGTGAATCTGCATTCATCTGGAAGGCCCCTTATACAGGCACATGTGAGAGTAGGAGGACCAGCAATTCAACTACCGGTATATAGCTTTTCCAGAGGCACTTTGGATACCTACTTGTGCTTGGTGTGGAAATAACTTTCTACATTGATATTGTGTGGTATTGTTTTCAACTTGCTCCATTGGCCAAGCTAGAAGAGTAAAAAAAAAGTAAACAGCAATGCACCTTGAGCCATTGAATATCAACTAATGAACATCGATAATCCGTCTACTGAGTACAGTTGCTTTACTCTTTCAGCTCCGTGTGGAGCAGAAACCTTCTTTTGCCACAGCAACATGTGCATCAACCAGACCCTGGTGTGCAACGGCATCCAGAACTGCGTTTACCCATGGGACGAGAATCACTGCAAAGGTACCCCGACAAAGGCCGAGCGAGCAGCCGTGCATTGGATGCGCCTGAACACGTCAGTCATTCCTCTGCGTGTTGTCTCCCCTACTAGAGAAGAGGAAAGCCAGCATCCTCGACACGCTGGATAACACTAACATCACCATCATTACGGTGACCTGTGGCCTGGTCGTCATCCTGCTCGTCATCTCCGTCATCATCCAGGTCAAACAGCCACGCAAGAAGTACATCATCCGCAGGTGAGGTTTCTGCACTTATCCATATTTGGCGGCACGATGGTGTGGTTCTTTAGCACTGTCAATTCTGACATGCGTATAGTCAACTTGAATATTTCCATATGCTACTTTACACTTACACACTACTGTACTACACAGAACATCAGTGGGAAATACTAGTACATTTATTTTAGTAAAGGAATATTGGAATTGATGTCAATATAAAACATTTTCAGATGCTGCTGTTATCTGAAGTAGTTCAGAGCAAATCACAGGCCTGTAGGAGCTAACCGTATTTATTTTTATTTTATTAGAGTGTGTGGAAACCTACAATTATTACTCGACACTGGTGCAAAATTATTAAACGGGACATTTATTAAATAATACTTGCAAGCAGGAGCCAGGGCTCTGGGGCAAAAACAAAGTGCCGTGAGATTACAAACATGAAAGCACAAACATCTTGATTATCAGATGACCCAGAACACCATGTGGCTCTGAGCGAGAGAGCGCAGACTTTCTGTCTTAAGGTGAAACATTATTTAAGTTGTGTTTTTCTTAACATTATGTGCACCATATGTGTGTGCGTGTGTGTCTTTTCCACAGAGATGACTTTGACCCTGCCCTCCTCCACCCCGGCCTTGAGCCCCCTCACTACGAGCTCTGCACTCTGCGCCGCGACCCGTCCGGCGACCTGACCGATGCCGCCATGGCCGAGGACTACGAGAAGCTCCACAAGCTCCGCCGCTCCTCCTCCAAGTGCATCCGCGATCACCACTGCGGATCCTTCCAGGGAAGCGTCCACGGCAGCCGCAGCAACCTGAGCTTGAGGGACGCCACCATCGCGGCCGAGCCACAGGCGATGGTGGGCCAGCAGTCGCCGGGCCTCCCCCAACACGCTGCGCCGACAGGACGAAGGAGCGTCCTGGTGATGAAGCATAGTTATTCTCAGGACGGGGCGGAGGGGTACAGGGCGGAGGAGGAGGATTCGATGGTGGATGATTGTCCCGCCACCAGCCTGCACCACATGCACCACCACCAGATCTACAGAGGCCCGTCGGGGCTGGACCACGCTGTCCACCGCACACTTTCTAACGACTTCTAATAAAGATGTAGGTGAGACAGTTTAACATACAAAGTTATGCTGCTCTTTACAGCTCTTGTTAGGGTTTCTCAGTCGCAAATAAAATTTATATCGCTTGAAACAAGAATAGGATGGACTGGAGCTGTATCTAGAGAAAAATATCCCTCTACCAAAGAAATTAGGTGCAGCTTGGGCTTGGGAGTGTCAGGGAAATAAACAGTTGAACACATGAACGGATGAAAAGAGGATTTATTGTACATACGTTGAGATAAATTGAATTCCCACATATTCTAACTCCTTTTTGTGTTGAGCTTAACTTCAAAAATAAGTATGAATCGACGGATGTTATCAAGAACAGTATATGATGGAAACATAAACTATTAGTCACAGCTAATATATCACAGTCAAATATATATATAATTTAATTGATTGAATGTATTTATTAATGCTTGTTTTTTGTGTAAGACTTGTCCCAGTTAATTATATGTATGTTTCTGTTTATTGTTTTCATTAAACATATTCTTCTTCCTCTAGTCTGCATGGCTGTTGTGTGTTTATTTGTGTGTACGCTGCCACCTTCTTTTAGATGATTTTCATTTACGGCGACGACCAGGGAGGTAAATCCAAAAGGAACCTTTCTTCGATTGTTTTTGTGACCCTGTCGGACGAGAAAGAGTGCTGCGCACATTTTGACGTATGATCAACAAGACCACTGCCTTTCATAGGGTAGTTTTATATGTTTTATAAATAAGATTTTTTTGGTGCTTTTGGCTTTGCGGAATGAGCAAATTTAATTTTGTGACATTTACATTGGGTCGCTAGCTCAGTTAGCTAAACTACAACTGCCGGGGCTGTCCTTGATCCAGTTCAAGTTCAGCTCAAGTTAACAAACGTTCCGTATGAATACAACGGTTGTGGTTTCCGTTACGCTAGCGACATGGCGCGAGAGGCTCTTTACCTGCAGCCCGCCGCGGAGAAGCGGAGCGGGAGTCGCGTGGGCCTCGTAGTCACCGGCGTGCTCGGAGGCTCGCTGGTCGCCCTGTACGCGGTGGCGGCTCCGTTTCTCGCGCCTGCCCTGAGAAAAGTGTGCCTCCCGTTCGTCCCGGCGACCACGGCTCAAGTGGAGAATGTCCTCGGGGCGCTGCGAGCCAGATCCGGGACACTGGTGGACATCGGCAGTGGAGATGGGAGGATAGTAAGCGCTACGTTGTCTCAGCCCCTGGAGCCCCAAAAGATCTTACCCTCAACGCCACGACAGGATAAGCACAGACACCGCCTATACGTTGATTGAATACATAGTTCATAGTAGAATAAGGCCTGAATCTTTATTTAAAAAAGGAAAAAACACAATGTCACTGCAGGGAAATTGAGACTTAGTCAGTGAAATGTGCATATCACAAACATTATCACTCATTTATATTGAAGGAGAGCAGATGTAATCTTCAACAGAAAGGTGACATGACTTGCTCTTACCGCTGCTGTAGTCGCTGCATGTTGTTGGTACTTTGATGCTGATCCGTTGCGTTTCTCTTCGTCCTCCTCACAGGTGATCGCGGCGGCCAAGCGTGGTTTTCAAGCGTCCGGCTTTGAGCTGAACCCCTGGCTGGTGTGGTACTCTCGCTACAAGGCCATTAGAGAGGGAGTCCACCGCTCCGCCTCCTTCCACATCTCGGACTTGTGGAAGGTCAGCGAGACACGATCGTCATAGTAACTAGTTACAGCGAGCAAATCGTTAAGACATCAGGTGATATTAAACAGACTGTCTGTCTTTCCCTGTGCCTCTAAATATTTACTGTTCTTTTGCTAGGTCAGTTTTGCTGAGTACTCCAATGTCGTCATATTTGGAGTCCCTCAAATGGTGAGTTATTTTTTATCATCCCAAGTGAGCTTTCAGAAACCCGAAGCGCTGCTCTTGATGTCCTGATCCTTGGTGTCCTTATCTGCAGATGGATCAGCTGGAGCTGAAGCTGGCGTGCGAGTTGCCGAGTGCAGCTCAGGTTGTGGCCTGCCGCTTTCCCTTCCCTACTTGGGTCCCTGAACGTACCGTCGGAGAGGGCATAGACACCGTGTGGGTGTACGACGCCAAGACATTTACGTCACGCTCGCAACATGGAACGGCAGGGAAGACAACACCAGAACATGACAACAAACTAGATGCACATGCATAAATGGCAACATCTAGATCTTGTTGTCGATTTGTCATCACACCTTGGAACCCTTGTTCTTTTTTTTTTTTTTAAACCCATGCAATTTCTAACCTGGGATGGACCTGATACGGCTGGTGGAGACTGTTTACAACTCAATGTCAAAAGTGTGAGAATGAAACAAGTTGTGAAAAGAAACTGATTGACAATGGCCTCAATGAGTGATTACACTGATGTTGAAGTTCGTTATGAGCCCCATCATGTCTGCGTTCCTCGTACGTGGCTAACTGAGTTAGCCGAATATTTTCAGGATGAGATGACGTAGATCCGGCTTTTTGGTTCCCTGAAGCAGGTTTGTCTAAATCACCATAGCAACACATCGGAAACACTTGAACCTGCTCTGGCGCAGGTTCATTTGACCTGCTGGATTAGTTCATCACTCCCCCGCAAAAAAAAGGGCAGCTCACTTCCTCATTGATGAAGGAGCGACATCAGTTAGATTAACGTTTTATAGGGAGAGACTTCTAACAGAGATCACAAAGACACGTTGAGCTGCGATGACGTCCTGTACGAGCGCTACAGATGCTGAGGAATCGTTTATTTACAAGAAGATTTTCCAGGGCTGAAACGTTACATGATGAACACCACACGCTGCAGCCAAACGTCCACTGTCCCAGACTGTCTCTCATACTCTCTCACACACTCTCTCATGTCTCACACACCGTCCCACAGACTGTCTCACACACTGTCCATGTCTGTACGGTGTTGCGATGCAGAGAACATCTGGAAAGCCGCTGCATGTCGTCCCCTTCATGAAGTTCTGTTGGTTTATTTGTTGCTTAATAAACTTTCACTGCTTTCATTGATCAAATGTCTGATTATGAACAATGGATATATAATGATTCTCACACACACATAATAAAACTCCTAGTTCTATATGGTCATCTACACATACATAAGCTGACACAGTACATATATCCTATTCATTCGTATCAATTAGATTCTTTGGGCTTGTTTTCATCTACATACTCTGAAAGAGTTGAGATCATTATCCTCATTGGATGATGATGATTCCATGAAGCCTCCTGCAAGCAGACACATTTGAACAAATATAATCTGATTGAATAGTGACGAGGCACTTAAATGAGCTTATATATTTTACCAACACACATTTAACGTTAACTTGTCTGCAAAACTTTGTCGGGCCTTGCAGGGGGGGCGCTGTCAGTTTTTGCCATGATTGTATGATTCATTTAATGTTATTTTGTACACAATATCGCAAATTAGCCTCAGAGGTCTTTACAGTCTGTACACAGGTGACATCCTCTGTCCAGAAACCCTCACATCGGCACAGGAAAAACTCCCCAAACAATGAAAACGTATTCGATAGGCCTTAAAGCCTAGTTTATGCTGCGGCAGAAAAATGGGTCGACGCACGCAGGGACGCAAAGGCGTGTGAAAAGGCGCCTACTTGTTTGAACGGTATCATTTTTCTTCACAGTCCATCAAATATGTACATAACCTCACCCGTCCTCATATAAGTAACGTCCCCCATCGTGGACATGCTCTCACGTATGAGCACATTCTTTGTGTAGTATTTCCTTTACAACATTAGAATATTGGTAAGCTGCTGTATGCAGAGCCGTGAGTAGAGTGTGCCTTGCTCTGAAACGTCTTTTAAACCTTTTTGTTCCCTGGACACAAACCGGTGAAGCCATTAAAGAGAAGTTCCACAGGATGCACCTGAATAAAACACATTATATTGTTATTATTATTATTATTATTATAATAACACATTATTATTGGTTCAATACCATTGTACCACTTTCTACCAGCGATATTGTTCTTGTGATTAAATATGAGCATGGGTGTGTATTTCAAGCCTGTGTGTAGTGCATTTTAACAAACAGTGTAAAAAATGTAATTTTCCCACTGGGAATTAGTAAAACGTATGGATTATGATTATGTGTGTATATTAAATATTAACTGACGACACTATATTGGAACTTATGCCGTTTCTCTGTCTTTTGCTGCTGCGGTGTTGCGTTTTCTTTCTAATCACGGGTTCATACTCGCCGTATACGCTCGCATTAATATTTGCAGCTCAATAGTGGTGAGTATATTGTTTGTGGTTGTTGCCATGGTAACTCGTAGTATCGTGGCTCCATTCATGCTGCCTTAACACGGTGGCGGTGCACGCGCTCAACTCTGAGTCAACCTACTCCGAGTTGATTGAACCAACTCTAAACAGCTGTTCTGAAACTCACAACTCAGAGTTTCCCATCTCAGGCTGAATCAACTCAAGAGTTTAGGGTTTGACTCAGAGTTTGTTAAACCTCCTACTTGAAACGGACCCCTGCTCACTCATGCGTGAAGCCGGTGAATGATCAGTCAGCCACTTCATGTATGATGTTTGACGTTCAAAACCAGACCAGGAAGAAAGGGGAACACAAATGGTGACCTTCGTGAGTTGAGAAAGTAGAAGGAATTGGTGCATAGGATGATTTATTGCGTGAGTTGGTTATTCATGAAACCTTTAATACTTATTTTTTATATATATATATTTCTGTATTATTGTATTATTCTTTCTAGATAGACGATGTTTTTGCAAAGTGGTTGACAGAATACTGCTCACCACATCGACAGAAAACTGCACCGTGTCCTTTTTTTGGGGGGGGATTATTTATGAATAAAGCGCGGCCTGCGTATGACCGCCTCCTAGTGGTGAGCACACCGCACTGCAGTAGCAGCGGCAGAGCATGTCCTGACCGCAAGCAGACGCACTTTGAGGGGAAAAGGTTGTTTTTTTTTAGGACACGTATTGTCGCGCCAAAGACAAGTTAGAGCTTAAACTTGAAACTAACTTTGCATGTTTCCATGTAGATGGCCGCCAGTCGTCGCGTTCAGACGGACTGACTGTGGAGCAGGGCCGCCCCGCTAGCCTCTCAAGATGGACACCGCCGAGGAAGGTAGCTAACTTAATATCAAAACTTGATAAACTTGTCCGTGTTGACCAACATCTGCGATACAAACGACACCTCGCTCACGCGCTAACCCCTTCTTACGTGCAGCTGGTGACCATGGGCCACTTTCTTACACTCGGACAAATGTTCACTTTTCTGTGTTGAAGAAACCGCTAACTTGGCAATTGGCTAATGCTAGCTATGAAACGCTAGCATTAGCTGCAGCCGTTCCGTTAGCTGTCAGCTGAGGTAAACACGGGGAGCAACATGGGGTTCTGCTTGCTTAAATAAACAGCGTGTCACACGCTACCACTAGTTGGAGGTGGTGGTTATTACCTATGTCATTCCTAAAGCTGCCTAATGTAGCGTCTTTTTAAACAACCTAACACCGATTAACACAAATATAAAATAACGTTATCGTCCTCAACAAGTCCTTATTCTTGGACACATTTTAACACACTTTTGACATTGGCAGGCGGTCACTTGGTGTGCACTGTGAAGAATGTCCACATTTTGAATATAGCTAAATGTTTCTATGTGGAGTCATGCATGTCCCTTCATCCTGGGCTAATTATAGTGGTTTTGATCATCTGGGGCCACTCGTAATACAAGGTTTTCTGTTGTCCCTTCGAAGAGGAATCAAACATTTGGCTTTGGGTCAAAGGTTCTTCGAGAGTCTGAATTCATAAGAATTTCTGATATTCCGTGGAAATTCCTATAAATCTAATGTGCCTAGTTGAGGAATTGAACATATTTCAGCATATTTCATGCTGATAAATCATGTCATGTCATGTCCTTGTGTGCCTGTTCTGCAGGGGACATCTGTCGTGTGTGCCGGTCGGAGGGCACACAGGACAAGCCGCTCTACCACCCGTGTGTCTGCACCGGCAGCATCAAGTTCATCCATCAGGAATGGTGCGTTTCATTCATTTTGCGTTACTATGCTTTTAATGTCTGTCCATCTCCATCCAACAAGTTTTCTTTCACAAATGCCGTTGACGGCCACATAATCCTAAATTTAACATCTGAAAAACACTCACAAAGGTGGCCTTTTTGTGTTCACAGCTTACTGCAGTGGTTGAAACACAGCAGGAAGGAATACTGTGAATTATGCAAGCACCGGTTTGCATTCACACCAAGTAAGGTTTTGGTTGTCACTAATCTAAAAAAATGCAATAAATTGTTGTTGGCTCATTTCGTCTAACTCCCTCGTGTCATTTTTTTCACAGTCTACTCTCCAGACATGCCATCTCGCTTGCCAGTTCAGGACATCTTCGCAGGGCTGGTCAGCAGTGTTGGGACAGCCATCAGATACTGGTTCCATTACACGCTGGTGGCCTTCGCCTGGCTAGGCGTTGTACCTCTCACAGCATGTGAGTCACTCTAAATGCTACTGAGAATGGAGATTTTATCAGCTATGGCATATTGTCGGGACTGTAATTTGCAAGACAGTTTAGTCAAGAGTTGAAAATTAACGTGAAGCACTCGATTGACATTTGAAGCACTGAAAGTAGATGAAACACAAATAAAACCATTCAACCCACCTCGCAGTAATAAGTGTGTGTATTGAACAAAGCAATTTCTATTTATTCACTTAAGTTTTACTCGGCATGGAGTGTAATACTGTAAAATGATTTAGGAATTTTCATCGTTTTTAATTTGCTTCACACCATTTGTCGATGTTAAGAATTTATTCTCCGATTGCATTTATGTTTTCTTTGCTTTTCAAACAGGTCGTATCTACAAGTGTTTATTTACCGGCTCCGTGAGCTCCCTCCTCACGCTGCCATTAGACATGCTTTCAACGTAAGTTTGAGCTGCTACTCTGGTCTCGATCTTGCTCTTTACTCACGTCTTCATTGTAGCTCTGCTTGCCATATAATTCGTAGTCCGGAGTGTGGTTATCCACAAAAGTTATTTTCGTCCACCATGCCATCTTTTCTTTCCCTTTGTGTCCGGCGCTTTGCAGCAAAGTGATGTGTAAACGTGCTGTGATAGACATGAAAACACCCTTGTGTGCCATCTCTTCCCTGCAGGCAGAACCTGCTGGCAGACTGCCTCCAGGGCTGTTTTGTGGTCACTTGCACACTGTGCGCCTTCATTAGCCTGGTGTGGCTCAGAGAACAGATTGTCCACGGAGGCCCCCCCCAGTGGTTGGAGCAGAATCAACCACCCCTGGTTCCAAACCAGCCCAATGGTCCAGCACCAGCTGATGAGGTGAGACGTCTCTGCACACAAAGCTGGAGCGTTGCCATCTACTGTTACTGCACTTTGACATTGTTGGACCAATTACCGCTTCATGTCTGTTAATGATATGCCAAAGTTGCACCGGTACACAAGGATCAGATTTGTCACTCTGATTCGGTAGAGACATGGATGCAAACTTCAAAATGACTGGTTGTTGACGCCAAATAAACAGGACGGGTTAAATGCTAATTGTGTTATTAAATGTTTTCATCTTTTTGAAATTTAGTGAAAAAGTAGCAATTCCTGCAATATAACTTTCTCTTGCGGTTTGCCGTTTGTGTAACTGCCGGATCATGCCGATTCTTAATGATAAACCATTCAAGACTAAAATGTCTTGGTGACTGAGGAATTTATCTTCATCATTGTCAACCTGTCCTTTTGTAATTTGCCAAATCCTAAACTATGCCTGTGGTTATTATTAATAATAATAATGCGGCCACATAAACTCCTTGATGTGGGTGCAGACGAGTTGTACTGTAGGGGAGGAACTGCAATGTGTCTTTTTTTGTGGTTATTTCACAAATCTACAGGTTCCAGGTGCCGACATCAACGCCCAAGCTGCTGCAGGCGCCGGAGAACCCCGGCGACCTGGAGACGCTCCCCAGGACGGACAGGCAGCCGCCGACCCACAGGAAGCCGGCAACCACGGGGACGAGGCTGAACTCGATGACGATGATGGGGAGGACAATGAAGAGGGGGAGGACGAAGAGGAGGACAGGGAAGAGGATGCTGCCGAAGCCAACAATGGAGGACAAGGTCGGTGTGAACAGACTTTAAAGGTCGGCCTTTTAAACCTTTTTGCACGTCATGAAATGTACTCTTTTTACTTGGTGAATAAATGACAGGGTTTATTCTGTCAGAGAGCACATGCTTGGCTTTTTGAGTTTCACTCTGTAGCGGAGTACATCGATGAGAAGCAGCCCACATGGTAACAGAGCCCCAGAAGCCTATTTTCTCTCTGGCCCGTTGTGGCCATTCTCCACTCTCAGCTGTTTGCTTTTTGTTCTTTGCAGAAGATTTGAACTGGAACGCCCTGGAGTGGGACCGTGCAGCAGAGGAGCTAACCTGGGAAAGGGTGGGGATCCACTTCTTTGTCTTCACCGCCTACTCCTCTTTGTCGGATTAGGAGAACTTTCAGATGCAATTTTTAATAATAGCAGCAGTTAGTGAAACTATTGATATTACCCTGTAGATGCATTATGGGTCATTTTGACATTGCTTTTTTTGTGTCACAGATGCTGGGACTGGATGGTTCCTTAGTTTTCTTGGTAGGTATATTTCAACGTAGCGTTTTCCCTATAAAAGTGGCCATCGTGCAATGTTTCATGTAGCGTGGAAAGCTGTGAGCGCCCCCTGCAGTTCTCAGTTTCTATGAATCACTTGGAAGTAGACCTAGAATATCCACCCAGGCGAACTGCATCTGGCATCAGCCAGTCCGAGTCTCTGCAGCGGAACCCTGTGGGAGGCAGGAAGCAGTTTCCTCACAAGTTTCCCTCGGTCGTAATGTCCTTTTGTCAGTGCCCCCGTACTTCATCTTTCCTCTTCTGTTACATTCAAATCTCTGGTTGAAATTAATTTATGATGTCCACATGTAGGACAATGACACCAAGCTGAAATACTAAATATCCAAATGTCCCTTTGATAACCTCAATGCTCCTCTATCTTGATGCGGTGCTTCTGCCTCCATCAGCTCCATTGCTGTACACATAGTAATGAAGACCATTGTTGTGTGTGTCTTTAGGAGCACGTGTTCTGGGTGGTGTCTCTCAACACACTCTTCATCCTGGTCTTCGGTGAGTGAAACTATGCGATCTGTCCCTACCTTTTGACAATTAATCAAGCCGTTTGTGTGCCATTATTATTGTTGCTATATATACAGTACCAGTCCAAAGTTTGGACACATGCTCTCATTAAATTCTATGAATTGAAAGTGGCAAACCTTTTGACTGGTACTGTTGTCAGTCACCACTAAACTACAAATGTGTTTCCCTTTTAGCCTTCTGCCCGTACCACATCGGCCATTTCTCAGTAGTAGGAATGGGCTTTGAAGAATGTGTAAGTGCATTTGCTCACACTATTCCTAACATTGTGGTTTTACATGCAGTGATGGAATTTGTTTGATATTATGTGTCTGCAGGTCAAAGCTTCACACTTTGACGGCCTTGTCACCACCATCCTGGGTTACATCCTCCTGGCTGGAGTGCTCATAGTCTGCCATGTATCCTCCATAAACAGCAGAACATAGATGTTTTCTGTCTTGAAAGAACCATAAATATAATCTCACATTTTGGTGTTCGTCCTTGACCGTGCCTCCTTAAGTTGTTTGCGTCGTTGGTGAGGTTCCAGCGCTCCAGACGCCTCTTGGGTGTCTGCTACATTGTTGTTAAGGTAAGTTGAAGATACAATGGTGGAATGTTTTGAAAGGTGTTTCTGCTCAATCAAACCAGCAATATTAATAATGAGTTTGAAATTATTTCTATGTTTTTAAAAGATGCTCAAAATATAAGTAGGCCTACGCTCTCAGTTAAATTGTGTCATGGTATTTGTTATTCTGAGATCGGAATACAACATACCCTGCGACGTGAATTTAATTTGTATTTTTGTATGTCTCAGGTGTCCCTGCTGGTTGTCATGGAGATAGGCTTGTTCCCGCTGATTTGTGGTTGGTGGCTGGACATTTGCTCGCTGGTGAGACAATTGTCGGTGCAGAAGACCCTCCTTGGGTCATGTTGATGCTGTTTCATTCATTTGTTTTGCCCTCAATCACCAAACGGATGAATGAAATGCAAAATATTACATTGTTTAAAAATTCTTAAACAGATTTACTCTTTAGTTTTGAATACACAGCGCAACACACACACACACACACACAGGATATCATGTCCTTCTGGGTTGCAGGAGATGTTCGACGCAACTCTTAAAGACCGGGAGCAGAGTTTTGACTTGGCCCCCGGCACCACCATGTTCCTCCACTGGCTGGTCGGCATGGTCTACGTCTTCTACTTCGCGTCCTTCATCCTTCTGCTCCGAGAGGTCAGCGCAGGACTTTGACTCCTCCCAATCATGTAATGCAACTTGTTAAACTCTCATACCATCTACGGCTGGATGTGATGTTGTCGTGTTTTTGTGCTGGCAGGTTCTCCGGCCTGGTGTGCTGTGGTTCCTCAGGAACCTGAACGATCCAGACTTTAACCCAGTCCAAGAAATGATCCACCTGCCGATCTACAGACACCTGCGGAGGTTTATACTCTCTGTGGTCAGTCAAGTATCCTCCTCCTAATCCTAACCTGCAGTAGAAAATCCATGATGAGATTTCTCTTTCCTTTGGTGCTGAATATGCCTGGGAATATATTGCAGACAGGCAGTAGGACCATTTCCAGCTCTGCTATTTCCCTCCCAGAGACATCATTAACAGTGATATTACCATTTAAATTACCATTTCTGCTACTGATAGCTGTCAGGGAAACAAAAGGAGGGATATCTCTGTTTTGGAATGCTTCTTTTGAGCCATAGATGGTCTTCGTTTTCTTAGGTCATTGTAGCAGATTTGCATAGTGAAAGATTTGGCTTTTATGGAAAAGGGTGATGTCAATATTCAATAGTCATTACAACGTGTAATCAACATTAACTTCCTAAACCTATTGAAGTACTACATAACAATTAAGGCATCTTCAGTAAGCAAGCAGCCTCTGATAAAGACTGTTATTAACACCCTCTGAAGACTGGGAGATGCGTAGTGTAACTTTCTGCATGCATCTCCACACACAAACACTGACTCATGTGTTTGTGTGTGTTTCCATTTCCAGGTGGTTTTTGGCTCCATAGTTCTGTTGATGCTTTGGCTTCCAATCAGAATCATCAAACTGCTCTCCCCAACCTTCCTGCCCTACAACGTCATGCTTTACAGGTACTTATTCCAACACCTGATTAGCGTCTTTTTTCCCTCAGGATGTCTTCTCTACTCAATGGCATATCTAAGCGCTGCTACTTACTTACGTGTTGTGTCTGCAGCGATGCCCCCGTCAGCGAGCTGTCCCTCGAGCTGCTGTTGCTTCAGGTCGTTCTGCCGGCTTTACTGGAGCAGGGTCACACGCGCCAGTGGCTGAAACGCCTCGTCCACGCCTGGACGTTCACAGCAGGATACATGCTGTATGCCCGAGACACACACACACACACATTTCAACTATAATGTAATAGTACAATGGAATAAATGTACAAATGTGTTGCTGCTCAGAGGAGGCCATTTATTTGTGGCCATGATGGGCACAACTTCTCCAAGTTGTATCCCAGGTAGAGCCGTTTGCTGGCAAAGGCAACAGTTAAATTTGCAGATCCCTCCTCCTGGCGCTCTCCTCTCTGTTTAAACCCCTCCAATCAGACAAGCTTGAAATATGTACATGCTTACACCAGGGTCCAGACTTTCTTGGCTCGCCAGCTAGGGGTAACCAAGTCACGGCTCATGCTAAAGGCTAAAGTACACGCATAATTATGATATTGCCACATAGGCAGCGACTATTTGTTGGACTCACAATAACCCATTGGCCGGGGCAAAGGGCCTAAACAAAGTGGCTTGTGGCTCCTTGACAAACATGGACGTCTTGCCAAGAAAAGCATTGGAATTCATCTTAATGCCAACTAGAGAGGAGGGGAAGTTATACTTGCTGAGTCACAAGGCCGTCAGGCTACGCTAGTTGCAGAGAAAGCAGAGGGGTAAAGTATTAGCGACATTCTCTAACCATTTCCGACGCGCTTTGCAAACACTGTCGTGGACTCTATTTGCTACGACCCAAAAAGGAGTTGCAGAAGTCTGGCTTTCTCTTGGCCACTTGAATTACAGCATGCTGAAATATTATCTTGGAATTTAAGCGCAATGTCACCGAATATATGTACTCCCTAAACCCCGCTTTAAGACTTTCATCTAGTATAATTGATCATTTGTCAGCTACAGGAAAAGGACCATAGTCTTCATGTGAGCTGGCAGGAAATGCCCTGTGTGTCCTCGCTCATAAATATCTTCAGTCATGGCAGTAAGATAAAATAATGACACTCATTAACTGCTTCCCCACAGTGACCTTCACTCGTACCTGCTGGGGGACCATGAAGACGAGGACCACCAGCCAAACAACAACCCTCCTGTTCAGGATGACCGGATCCCTGGTTTAGGGGAGGGGCTTCACGCTGCCCATCAGGCCATCCTGCAGCAGGGAGGCCCTCTGGGTTTCCAGTCGTACCACCGGCCTGTCAACTTCCCCCTCAAGGTGACTCCCAGCTGTGCTCCTGTCCATGCATACGTACAGCCTGGGCTGCTTTTAATGTCTCCCTCATGTTGTGATGATGTTGTTCTTTATGGTCAAGATCATTCTGCTGGTTTCCTTCATGTGTGTGACGCTGCTACTGGCCAGTCTGGTCTGCCTCACACTACCAGGTAAGTTGTGAGCTCAAATAGGCATTTGACATTCAGCTTTTTACCTCCCTCCAGTCGTTACACCTCCATACTGTACCCGTCTCAGTCTCCATTTCCCTCTCTCGCAGTGTTTGCGGGCCGGTGGCTCATGTCTTTCTGGATGGGCAGTGCCATGGTTCATGAGTTGTACACAGCGGCCAGTGGTCTGTACATCTGCTGGCTGTCCATTCGAGGCGCCACCATGATGCTCTCTTGGATGCCACAGGGACGGAACATGATCATGATCAAAGTCCAGGAGTGGACACTTACGGTAATGTTATTCTGTGGTCCTCCCAGCTGAGCTCTACCCTCCATGTGTGGCGACCTGATTTATTTCCACGTGATATCCTTCTGAAAACAGATCCTGAAGACTGTTGTGGTGGCCGTGCTCTTGGCCGGGGTCATTCCTCTGCTCTTGGGTCTGCTGTTTGAGCTGGTGGTTGTTGCTCCTCTCAGAGTCCAACTAGACCAGACCCCTCTCTTCTACCCCTGGCAGGTAGGAGGATGGAGATTGTATGCCCTTGTCTTATGGACCATAGTTGAATTGTGGTGCGTAGGATTCCCCCCATTACGGTTCATCACAGTGTGAAATAAAGTATGATTGTTATTCATCTTCAGCAGCGCTCAGTTCAGGTAAAAAGAATATTGGGTCATGATGTGCTCAAATGTAATCTTTTAAAATTTTAGTTTTTGGATAAGTTGTTGAATATATTTTTACAGCAATATAAAATATATAAATGGAGAAAAACCTTTTAAAGTCCTATCACCAGCTGTATGCAGCTTGTAAGGCCAAGATGATTCTTTATCAATTAAAAAGCTACTATTCCTAATAATTTGAATCTCATTGTTATTGAAACAACTCTCCAGATGACTGTAAAAGGATGACATTTAGAATTCTTCTTTTCGCCCCCTTTTTTTCTTTCTTGCTGATCCGATCCACTCTACACAATCCAAACCGTGAGCTTTCTGATCCGTGGTGTGTGAATATGAGTCATAAAATCTCACACGCCATTTGATTGCATCCATCTGAGTAATTAGATTGAGAAGTGATTAGACTGCACAGTGTTGTCAGTAGGACGGGGTATTGAACATAAATACTAATTGTGTATACATTGAGTATGGAAATCCACATGTCCGAACATGTTTACCTATTCTTTGATCATATTTGCTGACTCTGTTTTCCATGTTTAGACTTTTTGCTTGTTGAGGCTAATTTTATTAAGTGAAAGAAAAACGTCTTGATAGAAAAACTTTAGTACCTCTTCAATAATTCTAGTGCCACCAGTATCAACAGATGAGCGGATGTTGAATCGTAGAGACCAACGTCATTTGTCCCGGCCGTTAACTGGCTGTGTGTTTGTGTGTCTGGCAGGACTGGGCTCTGGGAGTTCTCCATGCTAAAATCATTGCTGCCATCACACTGATGGGCCCCCAGTGGTGGCTCAAAACCGTCATCGAGCAGGTCAGTCACACACCCTTCTACCTTCATTTGATTAGAAAACACAAGATTTATGGTACAAATAAAGAATGAGGTTGACCATGTGACGTACTTGGAATCAGCTGGGACTCCCATCTATGTAACACATGTGCTTCAGATTCCTCAGAAGGTCTCTGCTGTTCGGCACTGCCCTACTATTCTCACACCAATCATAGGGCATCACAAACAACGATACAACCGATTATATCACTATTACCAGACAATAAAATGATGGACGAAAAAACAAGGAGGTAGCGCCACTGGCACATCCTGCAAAAACATAAAATGTTCAGCTCATTTCAAATGCCTACATTCTCATTCACCGCTCAATGCATTCGTCACAAGACGGATGAGCGGGTCAAATTGTGGTTAAGAAATAAGCATCGATCAAGTGTATTTGTACTGTGTGTATGTATCTCTATGTGTACTTATGGATGTATCTTGTTAAGTTTTTAAATTCTTTCCTTTAAAGCCGCCTGTGGACGGGTGCATCTTGTTATTGTGCGTCACAACTCTCAATAAAGAAATAACTTTTCCAACTAAAGATATTATCCACTTAGACACATTTCGAAAAGTTTTTTTACAGAAGCATAAGAGAAAAAAAATCAAACTGGCGTTGGGATAAAGTCAAACAAACCGTCCCTCTCCTGCAGGTGTATGCCAACGGTATACGGAACATTGACCTCCATTTCATCGTGCGTGGACTGGCCGCCCCGGTCATCTGCGTCCTGCTGCTGTCCCTCAGTGTGCCGTACACCATCTCCAAAGGCATTACACCGCTGCTGGGTGAGTCTCCGAGCAGCTTCACACGTCTCGTCAAAGAGGGTTTCATAAAGAATATCAACTATTTTTACATCCCTTACCGACAATATGTTATTATCCATCCGTCAATATATATTTAGAGCTATTTACGCACCACACATAACCCACCCGCCATAGAAAACTTCAATGACAAAGGATGGTAATTGGGACTGGACATTTTGAAAGACCGTTTGAAGACAGCTCAGAATGGAGAAAACACACTACGGTCGTCAGTTACTGACATTCATTATACGTTCTTCAAAAGTAAAACTCAATCATTTAAGTGCCACATTTTACTTCCATTAAAACATTCTAGATAAATAATAAATACATGACAATCAACGGGAATTAGACATGGAAATCCAGCCTAATTTAACAAAATAAAGAAAGCTGACAAGCCATTGAGCGAAAGAGTAAAAAAGATCGATGTAGAAAATAAGACCGATTAAAAAGGGTAGCGGATCAGATTAATGCCCAAAGATGGAAGACACTCTTTGATATCATCAGGTCACTGCTGTGCCGTCCCAAATTGGGCTCATGTCCTCAATATGCAAAGCCTAGAAAAAAGAGCCAATTTTGTGTCTTTGATGTGGACTTGGACAACACTAGCATGTAAATAACCGGTCAATAGAGGATTGCCAGGCCTCGCGGTAATCAGGGGTTTAGTCATTAGGCAGTTTTGTGTCTTTCATTTACTCCGTTAGATCAAGTCCATCCGTCCCTGAAGTTAATCCATCAGACATGCACACTCGTTGTTTTATCTCCTGTCTCTCCCCTCCTTCCATTGCAGGTGTGCAGCCAGAGATGCAGACGCTGGTGGAGCGGCGGATCTATCCCTTCCTGCTGATGATGGTCGTTCTGCTGTCCGTCCTGTCCTTCCAGATCCAGCAGTTCAAACGCCTCTACGAACACATTAAGAACGACAAGTCAGTAGACCAAAAACAAGTGGCGATCACATCAAGGAGACTTGATGCCAGTAGACGTGGGAGGGCTGGCGAATCAGCCAGTTCGCTGGGCGTTGTTTGCTTTGGAATGATTACCTAATGATTAACAACTCTTGTCTATCTCGTTTGTCCTCAGATACCTGGTTGGACAGCGGCTCGTGAACTATGAACGCAGGAGGCTGTCGACCCCCTCGTAGACGTGCTGCTGTGGGCTCTGGCGCCACGGCAATCTGCCCGGCAGATTGTAATTATATTCTTTTTTTAAGTTGGGGTCGGGTCAATTGAACATAGCTTTTACCTCAGGTTGTGCTTCCCTCTTGAATGTTTGATGTGAGATATTGTCTATCAAACCCGAACGTCTCTTAATGAGACTTTTTTTTTTGACATTTCAGAGCCGTAGAGGTGGTTGTTTATACGTCTCAGATGACCAATGTTATCAAATCAAGGTCGTCCGTGACAAGGAAGGATACACATAATGTAGCAATATTGATTTTACCTTTCTTTTTTTTAATTTGTTTTTCAAAGGGGGGGTTTTAGATGTTTTTAATGGATTTGTTCGCAGTGTTCTGGAGTGAGCTGTTGGTCCTGCTATTTCCTTGAGTGACAATCTGAATAAAACCGGGGACAAATTTTTTCTTAATGTTTTCCTTTGAATTTAAAAAACAGTTGTGTAGTATCTTTGAGAAAATCCAGCTTCAACAGTGGACAGGTTAACAAAGAATATTTTAACTGTAAAAAAAACCTCAGACCATTTCAGAACGAGCCTGTGAAACTGATCTTTAATATTTATTCTGAGAGAATTAAGTCATGCTGCTAATTGGCTGTTTAGGCTCATAGCTGTGTGCACTGTGACCAGTTAGGAGACAAAGGCTACAGATGGATAAAGGAACCTTACTGGAAATGAGGCAAATCCCTTTCCCTTTTTTAGGTTTTACCAAAATTCCAAAGGCCCCCTTTTTTCTGTTCCATGTTGTTACTGATTATTCTCTTAATCCATCGCTGCCACCTGCTGATCCAATCTCATCTTGTCATCAATTTAGCAACTAATGCACGCTCATGTATGCAGATGAATATTACCTAGATCATAGCTACGTATAGATGATTGGCAGTTTAATATAGATCAAACTTTTTTTTCCAGTTTTCTTTAGTCATGCAACAGTGACTTCCTGTTTAGTTGATTGCTTTAAATGTTAATCTAGCAACCCATAACGGTACCAGGTGTGCTCTTCAGAGATTCGTGGATCCTATTGTAGCATTATCAGGGACACAACAACATGGTGCAGGAGTTTAACCATAGGCGTGCAACACTAGTTTGCACATGTGCAGTATGAACGGCATGACGCTTCAGGTCACACTCGGCAGGCCTCATCTCTAATAATAAACAATATAACACTGATTCGCATGATGACATACGCTATTGCTCACAGGGACAGAAGGGGGTTTGATGTGCTAGTTGGGATGGTTTTTTCTTTAATATACAAAGATAGATGCCTTTGCAGAATTGGTTTTGAAGGAACCTAATTTGTCATGCAAATGTTTTAATTATGCACGTTCCAGTGAAACAGTAATCACATTTAATTTCCTCCCAAAAAGACTGAAAGGGGTCACGAGTCACTGCTGTGGGTGTCACTAGAAGGTTGAAAAAACTTGTTTTCTATTGATATGGATTGTGAGATTAACTTAAGTGCTGCTGTGGGGAATACTCATTACATAAATATGTTTTAAAGTGACCTTTCAAGTATTTGAGCTGGACATTTCAAATTCTGATCTTGAATTACAATTTTTAGAAGCAGCCGATTTCTATTTTTATAAGTGCGAAAGAGGCATTGGCATGTACTGTAACATGGATTATTGAAATATGTAATATAACACAATAAACAGTTGAAATGACCAGATTAGAGTAAGCAGTTTGTTCCTCACACTGCAGACAATATGACTATGTGAAGTAAACAGTTTGCCGACAAGTACAAAGAAAGCAATGAGATCATGGGGTAATTAATCCTAGTTTATATTGAGTATAGTCTATGGCTTAAAATATGTCTAAGTTATAGCATGTGTTGAAATGCCAAAAAATAAGATACAAATGTCAGATTATAGTGTGAAGTCAACTTTTAGCAGATGAAGGAGCACCTAAAGTAAAAACTTCAAAAATTCAATGTTAAATGAAATCCGTATAGTATGTCAAATATTGCCATCAAATAGTATTTCAGTCATTAAGTAATTGGGGCAAAACAAGTCAGGATATTATTTTGAAAAAAAAAAGGGTCTGTGTTCGCTTCTGTCTTTTAGCATGATGAATCTGCGATTTACTGACTCCATGTTTGTTTACTTTATCTATTATACTTTATCTATTATACACGCGTCTATTCAAATTACTTGTCTCCCACTTATTGTAATAGTGTTCAAAATGAATCATTACATGGAAGCAAAGTACACATTTAGAAATGATGCAGCCAAAAGCAGACTTGTGCTATTAAGCTAAAGCTGATTAGCTTCATTTTTTACAAGCACAATGGGATCAACCTTGTCTTGATGAGCAAATCATGGCCAAAGTGCCTGTGATTCCTCCCACCATAATTACATTACATGTCATTTAGCTGATGCTTTTATCCAAAGCGACTTACAATACGTGCATTTAAACCATAAGAACAGACAAAAGAAAGTGCAATTTGATCAAATAAGCCGATTTACAACTTGCTATAGATATGTGCCATTAGAAGTACATTTAACTATAACTTGTTAGTGTTTTTAGTCACGATAGAGTCTGTAGAGGTGTGTCTTTAGTTTGAGGCGGAAGATGTGAAGGCTCTCTGCGGTCCTGATGTCAGACCTCGTTCCACCATTTCGGAGCCAAGACAGCAAAGAGTGTCTGAAGACTCCAAACAAAGAACCACGGTGAAACATACTTAACTACTCCGAACAAGATTCAGACATGAGCCTTAAAACAGCTTGCAGATAAGGATTTTACCTCAAGGTTTAGTAAGTACTTGACAATGACAGAGGTCTTTAAAATAAACTAGAAAGTTGTATATTGTTTCAATGTCACTTTGAAAATAGTTGTCAATAATGCAGAAATTCGATTTTGGGTACATTACGTTTCCTATTCAAATGACAAATCCTATTGTTCCTGACATATCTGCACTAAAACCTGATGCTAACATGTTAGCCATATCAACCTCGAAGGTGAAGGCCAGATAAGGCCGTGTTAGTGAATACATATGACTTGACTGTTCCACTTAAGTCTTATTACATTATTTTGTAAACAAGCAAATTCCCAGTGGCCTTAACGGAGTCTAAATGTATTAATCAAAAGGGATCCAGGTATTACATAACTTATTGTTGATTGGATTGGCATTGCACTGGAAAAGTGTTCCTTGGACGCGAGTTAAGGGAACAATAGGCCCCTAAACCACTCCAATGTTCTCTGAACATAGAGGTCATAAGGTCGCCAAATCCAATTTAGTCTGGCAGGGTGGCTTGAGCTGTTGCACTGATGACATTCTCTAATAAGATATGTCCGCCTGTCACGACCTGGCTCTTTGGGCCATGACAGGATTGGAGTTGCACTGTTTAAAGAGGTTTAACACGTTCTTTATTTAACATAAGACAACGAAAAATCAACAAACATTACAGATGGGATGTGAATGTCAGTATTATCCGTAGTGTAGGATGTGCATGAGCTGCCCTACCACACCACCGACGTCTGCTGGAGAGAGAATGAATGAACACTAATCTCAGGGCACCGGGCCCAGGTGCCTTCAATCACTAAAACCAGCCCACAAACCTAAATCCCAGTGGGAAGCTGCCCCCTCCACAGCAGGGGTCGCCACACCCTCCACCTTCAGACAGGGTCCCAACAGGGATCACTACCAACTCCAAAAAAAAAAACCCGTCCACATTGAAACTACGCCCCACCTCTGCAACCAGGTATCTGAGAGAAGCATTTTAAGAGACGAGAACAGAGGGAAGGATGACAGGAGTTACATTTCATATTCACAACATTAACTCACCACTGCAATTCAGACCATTTAACCACAGGGGCGCGAGAAAAAGCTTCTGCCATTATATTGTCCTTGTGCCTCAGCCAATCGACTGAACAAAGCACGGACACGCTGGACATGAGCACCCCACCTGTCACTGAAGATGACTACATTGTCGAGATACACCGCATAGCCTTCAAGTCCTGCCACAACCATGTTCATTAGGCGCTGAAAAGTTGCAGGTGCATTCCGTAGCCCAAAACTCACCACAGTGTACTCATACAGTCCAGTAGGTGTTATGAATGCAGAAATCTCCCTCGCACGAGACGCTAAGAGGAACTCGCCGGCACCCTTTCAACAAGTCGCACAAATTTCGCTGCAGTCCTCCATTCGAGGTAATGGGAATGAATCTGACTTAGTGACCTGGTTTACTTTCCGATAGTCAGTACAACATCTAGGAGACTTGTCAGATTTATCAACCTACAGACAGGGTGACCCCCAACTGGATGACGATGGAACTGCCATGTTGTTGTCCAGCATGTATTTGACCTCAGCTGCCATTACTTTCTGTCTGTGTGGTGCACACCTATAGAAACGCTGTTTGATATCAGGTGTGTGCGTGATGGTGTATCACCAAACAGGCCTGGATACTCCCTGATCACCTCCGTCAACACACTGCTTTGAAAATCAGTGGACAAACAAACAAACAGACTTCCCAAATTACACGTCGTCTCTGAATTTTTTAGTTGACCACACATCACAGGGTCATGAGGTGCTCGTACATCCACCTCCTCCCTGTCCACCATACCCGGAGCCTGCAGAGCTGAGGACACAGAACCAATAGTAAGTACCGGACTGACACCCAAACTCTGGACTCTGTAGGCTGGACTCCGGCGCAACAGTTAACATCGCATGAATAATAAGGCTTCAAATAATTGACATGACAGGAGAGGGGACTTCCTACGCTTTGGAGTGGAAATTAAATAATTCTGTGTACGGGCCCGAAAACTTCGCTTGAAACGGTGAACTTACAACTGGTCTCCAGGACTAAACTGACGACGCTCTGCCTGAGGGTCATAGACCGTTTTCATTTTAGACTAAGCCACCAAATTTTCACGTGCCTTTTCAGCAGCTGTATATAAACGATGACGGAAACCATTTACATAATCTATTAAATTCTTGGGTGGATCAGAGTCACCCAAGCCATCCCGCAGAACTGCCAAGGACCACCCACTGTATGGCCAAAAACAAGGTCATAAACCCAGTGCTCTCCTGAACAACTTTTCGGGCTGACAACATCAACCAAGGTAGACCTTCCTCCCGATGTCTCCCTACCTCTGCAGTACGCACGCAACCAGGACTTTAAGGTCTGGTGAAAACGCTCCAATGCTCCCCGACTCTGCGCATGATAAGCAGACGCACGGTTATGCTTCACCTTCAACTGTTTCAACACCTGTCCAAACAAGTGCGATGTAAAGTTAGAACCTTGGTTGCTCGGAATCACACGCGAAACGCCCAAAAATGGAAAAGAATTGTGTCAACGCCTTGACTATTGATCTTGCAGAAATCGAACGCAAAGGATATACTGCAGGATATCTTGTTGTCTGGCACATCACAGACAGCAGAGAAGAACAACCAGACTTTGAGGTTGGCAAAGGCCCCACACTATCTATAATCCAATGCGCAAATGGTTGACTGATCGCTGAGAGGTGCTGGCTTGATTGACTGACTCTGCTTACCTGTAAGTTGACATGTATAACACGATTTTATGTAATCGGAGACATCACGTTTTAACTTCAGCCAAAGGAAATATCGCAAAACGCGGTCTTAAGTTTTCCTCACACACAAATAACCTGATTCGTCATATGCAATCTTTGATGCTGGCTCACCAACAAAATCACCTTCACAAGGCACCCATTTCCTCAACAAGCAACCCATCCAGGAGAAAATAGCCAAGAGACACATTTTCAACCTTACTTTCAAGAAACCAGACCGACGGATCAACCCACTCCGGCCGAGGGACGGATGGGGGAAGATCAGGTAAAGGAATCACCACCTTCGTCTCGCGTTGCTCTCCACGAACGTCTGAAACAGTCTGAGCACGCTGCGCACGGCTCACGGCGCAGGCTGAAAACGCACTCATTCGGCCCAGCAATCAACATTAACTCTGGAGCCACCACAGGAGATGGCGGCACAGAAGGCCAGACTGCCGCACCAGCCAGGTCATTTCCTAGAATCATCTCCACCCCATCGATTGGCAATGCTAGACGCACACCCACTGCAACAACGCCTTGCACCAGGTCACAATCAAGCACCATCTTGTGCCGTGGTACATGCCAGAGCTGGAGCAGGTGGATACGACTTACGTTTATTCCGATTCCGTAATGCAGGAGGCTTTAAATGCAAGCGTGGGACGGGCTACTAAACCGCCATTAATGAGCGGGGCATGGATGTGCAGGTATGTGTTGAGTTTAATTTGCCTAATCCTTGTGTTTCAGCTGTTTAATGTGTTAATTGTGAAAAGAACACACTGGCTTACTTGCTCATTCTTTGTCAAGTTGCCGGAGTCTTCCGATCATGTTGCACTTTTCCCCAACTAGAAAGAGGGATTGAATGTTCTACATGGAGATTTAGGTTCCTAGATTCCACTCAAATTGCTGACCGATTGAATGACTGAGTCCCAGGCAGTAGCTACGTTTCACTTCTTTTCTTTTTATTTTCAGGTTTGCAGCATTTGGTCACTTCATTTGGGATTATCTCAGGCAATCAGCCAGGCAATCATGTAAAAAACCTTTAAAACACAAAACAGACACATAGAACACAAATAAGTCCCCAGCAACATCACAGAGGCAAAAAATACACTTCAAAAGTTAAGCTTAAAGTTTAAAATGCAACAAACTATTTTTAGCAAAAAAGCCCCGGTGCAGGAGCAGGATGTTAAAACGCGGTTGGAAAGTTCCTTCTTACCGGCTGCCTCTCCAGACTTTGCGTAGGTAATTCAGCTTTGCACAACACTCCATCTGCCGTGGCGTTTCACAACTTTTTACCTGCTGAGCTTGATTAGGCACCTGTGTTCCTCCTCTTGGGGGTGTGCACAAGTGATGGTGAAGTGCAAATGTCCCCTCCCCTCTTCTTTCTGTTTTCCTTTTTCTTTCTTTTTCATGCATTTTCCTTCAAACCCAAAGTGTTCGTCTTTGACTTCACATTCTAAGTTATCCCTGATGTAGAACATCTACACATACCAAAGTCTTTTCAAAATCAAGACATTGCCTCCGTGCCCGTACCATTAGATTTTACACTTTATTGTATTCTTAACAGAAAATGTTGAAACCGCCTGTCTTAAGGGAGGCGAACACACACTCAACAGCTAGAGAGAGAGAGAGAGAGACTAAAGGGATTATCGGGGCTCAGTTCAAGAGAACGTCTCATCCCATTGCTGGTCATCATCAAAAGAAGCTCAACGCATCTCCGGGGGGAAACACGATTAGTTTCCGTTAGCGGCCAGACGGCTGCCTCTTCTTTCAGCTTTAACTTCGCATCAAACATTCCGGCTGCATGTCTGGCTTCTGAAGGCACGGTTGGGAGATTTGATGGACGAGACTTTGGCTGCTATTGAGAAGGATCATAGTGACTTCTCCTCAAATCGGAACTCATGGAAACTTGCGTGTGCCTTGACCAAGTCCACTTCTTTTCATTTTTATTTTTTAGCTGCGACGCTCAACGAATCCAGAGCGACTTCCTCAGAATATGCATACGGCCAAACCTTTCTTGATGACAATGGCTTGGGGAGTTCTGGGAAATCCTAATCTCTGTGGTTTCCAGAGAAGATTTATTCGACAATGAAAGAGAATTTAGACCGTAAGTGCTGATCTCATGTGTGACCCCTGCTGAACCCTTGCTAAACCGAACCGAGACAGAGACAGACGGTTCAACGTGCCGATGGACTCTACGTTGTCCTGAAGTTGTCCTGGCAACCCCACAAGAATAATTTCTATAAAGTGGGGAAGGGGAAGATTTAAATGGTGTTACAAACAGAGGAACAAAGTGCTGGTTTGAAGGTTCTGGAGAATGGAGTGTCCCGAGACGCTGGACTGGGAGAGGTTCCTTTTAGGACTAATGAAGTGGCAACGAATAAACCTTCCATGTCCATCACCAATGTTGACGAAAATGGCGATGAGCGTGAAGTGTCAGGGGACGACGATAACGAGGAAAGTGAGCTTGATTACAGGCCAAACTATTGGGAGGATGACGACGAAATCTACCAGGAGTTCGAGGAGTTGGACTTTGACTCCCTGCCGGATCGCTCGGACATGCAGAGCATCGCCTCGAATGATTCGTTCTATCCACACATTGGTTGTATTGCATCCCAAATGTACTGCTCACTGACTCCTGACAGCCCAGAACCCATTTCTTTCTTTAACGCCTGCTGCAACAACAATGCCATCATCGTCAAGATCATGATTAGACAAGGAGTGACCCCTGAGGAAGTGAAGGAGACGGATCGGAACGGAAGAGTAGGTGTCTGGGTTTTATGCATTTTCATACAATATTTCTGTTAACCAGCCATCATGTTGAGAATTCCCAATTTGAAACCAAAACGATCACAATGCTTTTCCATTAGAGACCTTATTTTGCTAATATAAGGATACTATACTGTATTTAGTGTCTCATCCCCATAATCAGCCTTCAAAAGGAACGTAACAGGTGAACTCTGCACAGTTTAGGAGGTGCAGATACAATGTAATAGTCTACATAGTGTACAGACTAAACCTTTGGCAAAGCCACCATTCACTATGATAGATTAGACAAACGCGTGCATTGATTACAATCAACAATGGCTGCTTCGGGAGACAAAAATCTATTTACTGAAAAGTTCCTTTTCCAGTTTTGAAAAGGTACTCTCTCATTCAAAAGCAAAATAACTGATAATTTATTGATATGGGCGCTGTTGCTGTTTCCCAGCACGCATATAACCTTTTGTAAGTGCCTTACACTTACTTATCAGCAAACAAAGTTGGCAGTTCCTCTCACCAGCAGTCACTTCAGGGTTTTGCGGTCATGCCAGCTGGTCCTGGTGCTGAATACCAGCGGGTATGCAGGTCAAACCCTGAAGCAGTTGGTTAATCTTACAGTGACAGATGGGGAGTGCAAACTGCACAGAGACGCTATCGGGCAGCAACTTGCCGTCAGGGCTCAGCCTTCAAAGGACTCCCCGAGACCTTGACCTAACCAGTTGATAAGAGATACTGCGTGCTTACTGAGCTGGAAACAAACTGAGGAGGGTTGTCATGGAGTACTGCCACAGTAAGGACGGGTGTCTTTAAGGCCATCTTGGAGACTCACTATGGGTTACCATGGAAATGTGCATGGTGTGACATTTGCTATTCATAATCTATTGAGGCCAAGAATAGTTAATGATTTTTAACCTACCTACCGGTAGATTGACTCTTTGGAGGGGAAGACGGGGACTCAGTGGTATGGTCCTTCCACAGGAGTTTTGATCCCCGGCTTTGCTAGTCCATGTGTCCTTTGGGAAGATACTTAACCCCAAATTGCTTGAGCGGCCTGTGCCTTAAGCGTAAGAATGGTTAGTTTGGGTCCTGGCAGGCAGGTGGCACCTTGCGTTGAGCCCCTGTCATCGGCGTATGAATGGCAGTGATTGGGTGAATGATGACATGTGGTGTAAAAGCACTTTGAGTTCTTGGAAAACTATTGAAGCGCAATACATGTGAAAGTCCATTTACCTTTTGATGAGGTGAGTCACATTCAGAAAGGTATGAATTCAAAACCATCCATTTCTATCAAAATGCGCCCTCGGTTTGTAACATTATGCACAGCTTATATGTGTCACTAAAAGTCATTTCGGTCAAAGATATTTCAATTATTAATACACATTCTCGTATTTTTCCCCTCAAATGAAAAGCTTAGAAATGATTCCCTTGAATTCTTGTGGGGTGTGGTATGTACGCTCTGTACTTTTAGTATGTCAGCAATCCGGTGTTGCTCTCTTCGGAGTCCAGATTGAGGAGTCTATTACAAACAGTGATTTTAACAGGGAACTATGTAATCTGTCCGACCCACTGAACCTGCCATAGACCTACGGTACACCTGGTGTCAACATGCGATCGGTGACTGGAAATAATTATCCAGAAAAAGTATTCAATCTACACACCACCACCAGTTGTGGCCAGTGGGATCTTGTCACAATGTGTTGTGCGTGCATGACAAGACTGAATTAACAGCACGTTCACATACAGACCATTCAGTTAAAATAAGTGGTTTGGATAATGAAGCTAAACTGATGGTTTGCCTTTAAAATGTGCGATCGGCTTTGGTCATTGTACTTACTGGACTCATTCTTTTAAGCGACAGACCAGACTTTCTGGTGGGAATTCTAGCCAATAGACAATATTTTACTCCCAACTTTATTCAAGATGGACCAGAAAGTGTGCACACAATAAGGTTGTGTCCTCAGGGATGACGTTTAACATTGTATACACTACCATGTTTCTACAATACAACCTCATCTATTTTCACTGATCACTATCTGCACTTCCTACATAAACTCATACTGCAGTGTATGTAGCTGAATAATAATCCTCCTTTTCTTTATTATGAGAACAATTTAGGCCTTTGATGAAATACGGCTATGAATCTACAAATACGCTCTCCTGTAACCCCAAAGAGACATTTTTGTGTTTTTAAAAGCAAAACTAAAACAAGCGCTCTTGTTTTTCTGTTTTCCAGTCAGGTTTGATTATGGCGTGCTACCATGGTTACGTGGACGTGGTCATGGCCCTTTCTCAGTGCCCGTATCTTGATGTCAACTGGCAGGACAACGAGGGCAACACTGCTCTCATTATTGCAGCACAAGCAGGTAACCACGTGCCTCGGATCATCGTATAACAGGATTGTTAGAGCAAGTATTTTGTGAAATGTTGTCTTAGCACTCAGGCGGAGAAAAAGGGACGGCCGACAGTAAGGAGAGGGATGTTACCGAACGATCATCATTTGGAACAATGATTTGGACAATTCATTCATTATATTTATTGTAAAACAAATTATTTAAAAAGGTAACACTTATGACACTGTTTTGCTGACGAAAAGATGAGTTTCTTGTTATAATGCGAACACTATCTTATTCTAACAAGGTTGCCTATTTCACATTATAATATTAACATCTAACAACCGTTACGCCCAATAATGCCCGGGACACAATCTATTCTCACATCAGTCTTTATTAGAAAATGCATTCAGGATTCGTCCTTTGCTACCACTCGAACCAGCCGGCACACCGGGCGTCCGTACGTCTCTGACTGCTCGTCCAAACCGGTTTCTTTTGTCTCTTCTACTGCTCTATCATGGAGAGAGAGACAGTTAACCCCATATGATACAGCTGACAAGCATTGGCTTTGATCAGCATTAAACATCAACATCATTTTAGTATTGAAGCAGTGAGTATCAACCCAGTCTCAGCTAATGGGATTATAATGGTACGCTCACTCACTCCACTCTGCATCGATCTGCTTGTTTCTCCCTCCCAGAGAGCTAAACCCACAACAAAATCCCCACTGTTTTCTCGTTGCTAAATGGTGGAATGACATCAAAACAGTAGAAAGTCTTCCATGCAAACTGAAGACACACCTTTACCGACGATACCTGGACTAAGTAGAACTTTACTAGCAATTAAGATGCTACCTACATGTAGCACTTTGTAGTCTGGTTTTGTTGAAGTCATTGTACTTTCTTTATTGTTGTTGTTCTGGTTTTGTTCCCTCTCGATTGAACACACTTATTGTTAGTTGTTTGGATAAAAGTGTCAGCTAAATGTAAATGTAATCGTCATTGGAAGTAGCCCATCTGCTGCCTATGACTGGGATCCAGAAAAAGATTCTGCAGAGATGACGGAGGGTTTGTATTTCCAATCTTTTCCAACCTCCGTTTTGCACAGAAAGGAAATGTTTCACCGTTAACGTTCCTCAGGACAACCCCCCCCCCCTCCCTCCGATGTATAAAGATTACATGAAGCCCAGGTTTTTACAAATAGTCCATACTATTTGTAGTATTGCTTAAAGTCAATTTGTCTGTTAACTTTTAACACTTTTATGTTTCAGCCTCCACTTACAGATTTTGTCAAGAGGGCTGGTGCTTCTGTTAAAACCCGTCACTGCAAGTAGAATTGTTATATTGGGAATTAAAAGGTCCTCTGAGTTGAACTGCCAGTTGTAAGCATCCACCTCAACCTTACATTCCCCCCTATGCTTCTGCTTGTGCGCACACCTCTTAAATAGATTCCTTGTACGCATTGGACACTGTGCAATGTGCTCACTTCGAGGAATTTAAGGAGATCAGGCTGTCTCGTTAGTCTGGATTTAGACAGGATTTACTCAATTAGGAACTCTTTAGCATTCCACCAGCAAAAATTAAGTGTCTAATTCGATCCCCAGAGAAGAACAAAGGGAACTTGAAACCGCAGTAGGGGCGCCGTTCATTCCTGTGAAAACACATGAAGAAATAAATTAGTGTAATTCCCGTTAATGGAAGAGGTAAAATAATTCTAGATTCGGCAACAATTGTATCACAATTGATCATGCCAATATTAATTATTGGTGTTAGTCCACCCAAACACTATTACTAGCCTTCTGCTAACCGTCCTAGTGCTCCTATAGCCAATGCTAGCAGCTCTGTATGCTGCTAGCATGACTGCGCGGCAGGAAAGTTGAAGTGAATGCTAACGGCAGCATGCTAACGTGCCTACAGTGGCAATAATATGCTGCAATTTAGCAAATGATGCTTAGCATACTCACCATTCCCAATGCTATTTGCTAATTAGCATTAAACTTCACAGCGTGCATCTATGTAGCACATTTGCCCGTGCAATAGTGGCAACCATGCCGACCCCGGAGCCTTACAGCTAGCCTGGTCTAACATTCACTGCTAAAAGCTGTGAGTAAGAGTGGATTTAACTGTATGCATATAAACAGATAATCAGATTCAACTTTATTTCTTTGACAAGTAGGTCTGTTGTCCTACTTGTCAAACAAATGCAGTTACATCTAACCAGAAATGCAAAAGAAGCGGTCATGGTGCAGTGTGCTTAAAAAATGGAATGGATGAATAGAAAAATAACAGTATGAGTACTGTAGCTGATAAGGGGATGTTTTCATTTTTTTAAAAATGACAGAAGCCACATCATGCATAACCAAAGAAGCTTTCCTCGTGGCAAAAACTGTCATGCATGACATGCGTCTCTCTGTGGTCTGCAGGTTACGTGTTCATCTCAAACTACCTACTCAACTATTTCCCCGGGATGGACATTGAGAGGAGGAACTGTCACGGTTTCACACCTTTGATGAAGGCCGCCATGCAGGGCCGAGCAGAGTGCGTCAGGGCTCTCATGCTGGCTGGTAAAACGCATGCGACTTAGTGATTAAGTACAATGGACCGTCACTCTAGATAATGACATAAACGCTTTATTCTACTTACGAGCAACTCAGTGCTACAAGTATAGGGATAGAGAGCTGTTTCGATGTGCTAGTGATACACGTAGAGAGGATTACGGCACTAATTACAGATGAAATCCTTATATTTCCAGGTGGTGATATCCAAGCTCGGGACAACGGCCGCAGTTTGACTCCCAGGGATTGGGCTCTCTTCACTGGTCGATACGAGACAGCACATCTGATGCAGAGGCTGATGTCAAAGCCTTGTGCAGAGCAGTTCTGTGACTCCTTCTCCCTGGAGTGGCCCCCGTTGGAGGTTTAATAAATCCACCATGACCACAGCCCTACTAATGAATGCACAACACAACGCTTTAAATTAAAGATTTCATTGAACTGTAACGTTTGATCTTCATGTGCAGGAGCTGGTGGCCAAGGCCCAGGAGCCCAAGTCCTACCGGAGGCGTTTGATCAATGTCCTGTCCTGCTGCTCGTATAGGATTTACATAAACAACAAAGTGAATCCCGTGGATGAAGGCGTCTTTGACCACATGGTCCAGCTCACCACCGCTCTCGCCAGCCCGGTCATGGCCACGGCTTGCCACACGGTGTGCCCGGGCAGCCCGCCGTGCATCGGCAAGCGTCGGCCAGCTGTGCAAGAAATCCTGAGGAGGCAGCGGGTGTCTGAGCTAAAGCGCCTGGGCCCGGACAGACTGAACAACTACAAGAAATTTTTCCAGAACTCGCGGGTACTCCTCATCCCCAAGGCAAAGGATCGCAGGGCCAGCCTGCAGACTCAGCTGCTGAGCGACGTAGCCGCAGTGGCCATGAGGAGAGCCAGCCTCCTGCCCCTGAATATGCTGAGGAGGAGCAGCGTGCGGCCCGGCATTGTGGTTCCCAAGGTGAGACTCTGCAAAGCCCCGGCTCCCTGCTTCGTACCGGAGAAACTCAAACAGAGCGGTTACAACAACGACCTCCAGATCCCCAAGTGGAACTACAAGATGAAGAGGATTGGGAGGAGGCAGGAAGAAGAGGAGAGGAGACTAGTGTTAACTCGGATAAGGAGATGACAGGAGATGGGGAGTATACTGTATGTTCACATCAGCTCAGCAAGCAGAACATGACTGCAAACTCACAAAGCGTGAATGTGTCTTGTTGGAACAGCCCTGCAATCGCAGTGTAACAGTCCTAGAAACAATTACATTTGCTCACAATAATTGCTGCAATTCCAGACAGAGATGTGTTGCCTTGTTTCTACTTGAGTTCCCCTGCTTTTATTCAGAGCGCGTAGTTTATAATGCAATGTGGCAGATGAAGAAGATTTGGGGGTAGGGGTCCAATATAGAATTTGTATCTGTAATTAGTTCAGTTGCATGTGGCCAAATAACAAAAGAAGATTAATTGTCTCGGTATCCTTTAAAAGAAGTGCTCGTCTTAAGCTAAGATTCCCTGCACAGAACAATCGAGCCATAAAAAGATGAAACAATATTCAGAAGATGTGAGGCAGAGGTTACAAAAGGAAAGACAAAAAACCCAATACCAAATAGGATACCTATGGGGGGGTATTTCAAAGGATAGCGAGTCAAACTCTGACAAGGCCAAATGGAGTTTGGTCGCTGGCTGCTACCATATGAAAACATGCAGGGAAGAAGCCAATAAACCATCATGCACTCACGCATACAGGTCCAACAGGTAGAAGCCAGATCACACAGGCTTTGTGAGGGCTTTGAGGCAGATAGAGAGAGACAAAAATAAACAGCTTACTGCTGGACTGTGACTTGCTGGATTTCAAAATAAGTCCAATGAGATGCTCCACTACTACATCTCCGGCTCTGGGAGAAATGGAGGGCCACCTGTGCATTTCAACTTTTGCAAATTTGCTTCGCTTTTGGTGTGAACGTACCATTATACTAAAGACAAAGAAGTTGAATACACTACTGCAAAATGTGAATAAGATACAAAAAAGGTGTAAAATATTGCATTTTAGTGTGTATTAAATTTTAGTGTGTGTTAAATATCAGGTGGCAACCTCCATGCAAAAGTGTCTTAAAACTTGTATTCTCTCTTATTGCCAGCAGGGGGCATCTCCGCCATTCATACAAAGAAGTGAAACTAATTCTATATATATATATATCTACGTATATATATATATATATATATATATATATATATATCTACGTATATACATATACACACACATATATATATATATATATATATACACATATATACATATATATATATATACACATATATACATATATATATATATATATATATATATATATATATATATATATCTACGTATATACATATATGACATGAGTTTGTGTCAGAAAAGCATGTTTATGGACTCAAGAGTAAAGCTAGATATATCCTAGACACTAGGATATGTGATGTATTTGTGAATTGCACAGTGTTAAGGGTGTCGCACAGTGTTTTTGACTGCATTCATAGTCTTTTAAAATGAACTATTTTGTAATCCTTGTAGTGTAACTAGAACTATCGGTTTAAGTCAGTGTGAGAGATGGGCACAATTCGCATAATTGACTGATCATTTGAGACAGTTCATCAGATTTAGTAAACATTTATTGTTCTAATGGAATATAAAATGTACCCAACAATTACGCTGAACACAGCTTCACCTTGTGGACTTATCAACCGATTATTAAAAAAAACCTCCCTCTATGTAAATCTCAGACTGAACCAGGATATAACTATTTAATTCCCTGTAACGCATCAGCGATCACACCTTAACGACGTCAGACACAAGACAAAAATGCCTTTACGTGAATGAATCGGGCAACTTCTAGTAGCTAACGTCAGTGTTGTGGCTTTATGCTATATGTATAATTACTGTTATAGTTATATACTATTCGTGGGTTATCTAAATCGCCGTAAGATACAAATTCACGGAGACGAGGATGCAGTACATGTTAGATCATTTACTGGCGGGCGAATCTCTCAACTGCCAGGCATGAACAAACTATCACAGAGCTCCGTAGTACTGACAGTCAAACACAATCGAGCACCGAGTGCTCGACCCAATATACCACAGTTAGCAAGCGTTTGTTATTATCATTGAAAGACCCCATCGTGCATCTCGCCGTCGATAGCGCCGACTAGGTTAACGTTTAATCCTAGAAGACGCTATTAGCCTAACAACAGAAATGACGTCGACACTGACGTATGATAACAGTGACGAGCTGTTGTGCGTCACGACCAGGATAGTGTCTCCATGGCAACGCCTTTGATCTTTGTCACGTCATAGCCATATCCTGTTCAAGCCCATTTCGCGTTCCAGTCCTTCTCTGGCAGTCACATATCTGGGAGCTTAGAGAGGAACCACAAGCGGATACAAACTTCTCATAATTCGTTTCTAAAAAGCTTTAAAAATGACTTCGGTTACATTAAAAGCTGAGATTACAAAACAGAAGCTACAGATCGAAAGGTTGCAGGCAGAGAACATTGAATTAAAGGATTATGCGAGGAAAATGTTTGCCAAAAGAAAAGCTATAGAGGGAAAGGAGCCATTGCGGTTAGCAAAAGCAGAATGTGAAAAACTAACAAAGGAACTCGCAAAAAAAAACAGACAAGAGAAAGATGATGAGATAAATATAAAACAACTGTCTCTAAGGTACAATCAAGTGAAAAGCGAAGTTGAAAAGCATTTACTGTCAAATAAGAAGCTACAGGCAGAAGTGGACATCCTGAGACAAACTGTGGCAAACCAGACAATGGATTTAGAAAAGCACAAAAAAGAGGAGGAAAAGGAGAACCTCCTGATTTTAGAGCTGAAGGCAAATCTGCAATGCTGTAGTGAACAGCAATTTATATCTGAAACTAAGCAGAAAAAGCTCACAGAGGACGCAAAGAACACAGAACAGGAGATTGTGAATGCCAGGTGTTTGATTGCTGATTTGGAGAGAAAGCAAAGACAGCTAATTATCTATAATGATACCACAACAAATCAGAGAAATCTTGCCCTCAAAAACTTGTTCAAGGCTCAGGGGGAACTCTTTCAAAACCGCAAAGAAACTCAGAGTCTGCAGGAGGATGTCAAAACCTTGAATATTACGGTCGATGGTAGTAATAAACAGCTGACCGAGGCTAACTTAGCTTGCAATTGCACAAAAGAAAAGCTGCAAAAAGTGAAGTTGCAGCTTGCCGAAACAAAGAAAATGTATGACAACTTCAAAAAATCCATGTCCAACATGGTGGCAGAAACCAGACTGAACGAGGTCTTGGCTGAAAAGGCAAAGTTGGAAAAAGAGATTTTGCACTTTGACAATGTAGTAGAACAACTACAAATCCAGCTCAAACTTCAGAACGTTACAAAGGTCAAGCAACAAAAATGTATTAGGGACACTGAAGATGAGTGCTCTCGGCTCAACGAGGAGATCACTACGATGAAACGGCAATTGAGAAATTTTAGAGTCAGAAAGTTCTATGAGAGATCCTCGTCCCGTCCGATAGTCCATTGCAGATGGCGAAATAAAGAGGTTCAGAGAAACTATTGGAAAACAGTTCTTGAACGAAAGAATGCAGAGATCGAGGACCTGCAGCGCAGGTTGGCACGGAGGCCAGATGACGCCATACTGAACCTCCACCAGTGTCAGTGGGACAACAGACAACTAAAAAAACTGTTGCAGGGAGCACAGGGAGAAATCCTGATGTACGAGTCTCTGTACGAGATAGCCACTGAGAAGAACGAGGAGCTGACATTTGCCCTGAGGAAGCTCATGTGTGAGTTTGAAGCAAAGCGTTCCTATTTGTCTCATATTTCCACAAGGGACCTGCCCCCCACTGAAGAAAAATTAAAGGACAAGTGCAAGAGTGAGCTTGGAGGCAAGAACGATTGTTGGGACCCCATTCTCCCCATTCACCAGTCATCCACTGAAAACAAATCCACGGACAAGTGCAAGAGGGAGCTTGGAGGCAAGAACGTCAGTTGGACCCCCATTCTCCCAATTCACCAGTCGTCCACTGAAGACAAATCCAGGGACAAGTGCAAGAGGGAGCTTGGAGGCAAGAACGTCAGTTGGACCCCCATTCTCCCAATTCACCAGTCATCCACTGAAGACAAATCCACGGACAAGTGCAAGAGGGAGCTTGGAGGCAAGAACGTCAGTTGGACCCCCATTCTCCCAATTCACCAGTCATCCACCGAAGACAAATCCAGGGACAAGTGCAAGAGGGAGCTTGGAGGCAAGAACGTCAGTTGGACCCCCATTCTCCCAATTCACCAGTCATCCACTGAAGACAAATCCACGGACAAGTGCAAGAGGGAGCTTGGAGGCAAGAACGTCAGTTGGACCCCCATTCTCCCAATTCACCAGTCATCCACTGAAGACAAATCCACGGACAAGTGCAAGAGGGAGCTTGGAGGCAAGAACGTCAGTTGGACCCCCATTCTCCCAATTCACCAGTCATCCACTGAAGACAAATCCACGGACAAGTGCAAGAGGGAGCTTGGAGGCAAGAACGTCAGTTTGCCCCCCATTCTCCCAATTGCCCAGTCATCCACTGAAGAAAAATCCAAGGACAAGTGCAAGAGTGAGTTTGGAGCCGAGCCCATGCGTTTCCCCCCCGTCTCCACAATGGCCCGGTTATCGACTGAGGATCAACCCGTGGTCGCTAGAACCCCCAAACCTGCACATTTGTCCCCCACTAAGGGCCGATCCCAGGTTGCTTGCAGGCCTGTGTCAAGGCTCACTCGCTTCCCAGTCAACGCAAAGTTGGAGCATGCGTGTGAAAAGGAATCTGAAGAGCCCCCCATTTTAGTCAGGCCATGCACATACCATCCCAGGCCACCCCCAACCTCATCCCAAGCCCAATCTTCACCCCAACCCAGGCCACCCCCAACCCCGCGGCCCCTGGGGCCTCATTAAGTTGTTTTCAGGATCGAGGAGGCCTTCTCCCTCAAGGTTGGTAAAGATAGTGTCGAAGAGATCAAGTATGCCGTTATAAACGTCTCTCCATCCCAAGTCCCACCTTCGCCCCGACCCAGGCGACCCTCAACCCCATCCCAAGCCCCATCTTCACCCCGAACCAGGCCACCCCCCAGCCTCATCCCAAATCCCATCTTCACCCCGACCCAGGCCACACCCAACCCCATCCCAAATCCCATCTTCACCCCGACCCAGGCCACACCCAACCCCATCCCAAGCCCCATCTTCACCCCGACCCCGGCCACCCCCCAACCCCATCCCAAGCCCCATCTTCACCCCGAACCAGGCCAACCTCAACCGCCAGGTGCTGGACCTCCTACAGAGAGGAGGTCCAGCACCTGGCGGTGTGGTGCGCCGACAACAACCTGGCTCTCAACACCAAGAAGACCAAAGAGCTAATTGTGGACTTCCGGAAGAAAACTGGCACACACATCCCCATCCATATCAACGGGACGGAGGTTGAGCGTGTCGCCAGCTTCAAGTTCCTGGGTGTCCACATCTCTGAGGACCTCTCTTAACACCTCATCCCTGGTAAAGAAAGCACACCAGCGTCTCTTCTTCCTGAGGAGACTGAAGAAGGCCCATCTGTCTCCTCAGATTCTAGAAAATTTCTACCGCTGTACCATAGAGAGCATCCTTATGTGGTGGAAGATTTTGCACAGACAATCGTTAAGTAAGAAACAAAGGCTCTGAGTCAAGTATGTCTTTTCTCCGTTTATTTCCTTGCAAGGGAAAGAGGGTCACAACAGCTACGTGGTCAGTAGACTGTCAAGAACCTCCTTCTGCCCCCAACACATCGAGACAGTTCTTATACCCAAGTTTAGATATCGGTGGCGTCAACAGAAACATTTGACCATCTTGTTTAGTATCTACAGCCAGGGTACTGGGAACATCTTATCCATGTAAGACACGTCAGTTCTTTGACCGTGTCCTTGCTCTCCCAACATGTCAGGGCTACAAAGGACACGGCCAAAGAACCTTTGTAGCCCTAATCTAATCCCAAGCCCCATCTTCACCCCGACCCAGGCCACCCCCAACCCCATCCCAAGCCACATCTTCACCCCGACCCAGGCCACCCCCAACCCCATCCCAAGCCACATCTTCACCCCGACCCAGGCCACCCCCAACCTCATCCCAAGCCCCATCTTCACCCCGACCCAGGCCGCCCCCAACCTCATCCCAAGCCCCATCCTCACCTCAAACCAGGCCACCCCCAACCCCATCCCAAGCCCCATCTTCACCCCGACCCAGGCCACCCCCAACCCCATCCCAAGCCACATCTTCACCCCGACCCAGGCCACCCCCAACCTCATCCCAAGCCCCATCTTCACCCTGACCCAGGCCACCCCCAACCTCATCCCAAGCCCCATCTTCACCCCGAACCAGGCCACCCCATACCGATCATAACTGTACATTTTGTTTTCACAGACTAATCTCGCCGCATAATGAGGAGGTGACCTCGTATTTGCTCCGGGAAAAGTCCAGATTTAGACGACGTCATTGTAAGTGACACTGTTTCTCCTTCCTTGTTAAATGTTACTGTGACTTGCGTTTGTTTGTTTTTTATTCATACCACACTCATTTAATTGTTTTCCAGCCGCCTGTGAGACGTATTTTGAGACGGGACGCAGGAGCTTCAGGTTCAGCCGGAACACTCATTGCGGGCGGAAGCTGCGAAGGATTCAGCGCGGAGGCGAGCGAGAAGAAAGACGGTCAGAGTTTATTTGCTGACTTTTTTCAGGTGCATTGATAGATGTGTTGTGTCCATACCCATCGCACAGTACTGATTCATTGTTGTTTTTACAGCTGCTGGAATCGAGACAAAGTGTGCTGGCTGATGACGAGGTGGAACTCTGGAAATCCGCCACCGTGGAGCTCACGTAGGACGGAGGGGACGGCGTTGTTGACGGGGTCTCGGGGTGGATTGTACGGTCGCCACACGCACACGAGCCGCCTGCACAACAGACCTGCCTCGGAAAACACGGCGCCAGTGACGGTCTACAACCCCGAGGAGGCAAACTGACAGTTTGATGAGCTGTAGTTTTTACACCGCGGGCAGTTTTTTCTATGATGAACAAACCATCAATATGAACACATAATAACTAAAAGGATTACAAATTGAACCAGCCATTTGTACTGAGGATTAATACTCATGTGACTGAATTTTTGAAGGGGGAGGGGGGTCACCAGTCTGTCAGACTGAAACAGCTTCAATAAAAAAAGCTGCGTGTGTTTAAGTGGATTGTCTGGAATGTAGAACAGAACTATCCCAAAGAACGGGCGGCATTCTACACTAGTAGGAGAGGAGAACGTATCCTATTTGGCAACAAGATAAAAACGAAAAAAATTTAAACTGAAGACAACCACTTTTTATGGCTTCACGTTTTTTAAGTACAATTAGTATTTATGGGGAAGTTAACAAAAAAAAAAGGACAGGGGTCTAGAAGCTTGTGAAATATGCTCAGAATGTTTAAAATCTCATAACTCATCTCCCACTCTGTGGTCACTATGGAACAAGCCTATAATATGTAAAGAATCAACATAACACCAGAGGGATCATTCAAGTAAAAGCCAATGCAGAAAACACAGAATGAATCGCTTCTTTTTTCATGGAATGATGGTGTCTGGTAAATGGACAACAAAGCAGAGAAGACAAAGCCCTCGTTTTGGATTAATACGCTTATTGTCACAATCTAAGAGCATTCTACACGCGTGACACTGAACCCAACATGCGTGACTCAGGCTTTCCCAATGAATATTAACATACATATAAAAAAATGAAAACAAACAATTAAGTTTGGCATTAAAAGAAGCTTTATGAGAGAACGTATTGCTAATTGGGAATTGATTTCAACCAGGGCTTCCTGGAGGATTCTGGAAGTAAGTCACTCATCTAGTCAAGCAGCACAAGCTTTTAACAGTAAAGCACAATGTTTTAATAAAAAGGGCTCATTAATAAAAGAAATGAGTAGTAGAAAGTACAACCTGAACAGAATCTCGTCAACCCAAGTCCATTGTGACACTTTAAGACAGAATATGAGCTGTTGTTGGACCAACAAGCAGCACACTGCATACAAAAAAACTAAATCAATACCTCCATTCTATTAGAGACACTTAAACTCAAACAATAGACAATGGATTTAGTTTGTAGCTCCAATGGTTCGGTAGCAGATGTTACATGAGCGTCTTCGTGGTGGCCTTTAAGTGGAAGTGTGCATAATATGCAAGTACGGATACTAAATAACCCCGACCCCTGCAAGGCCCTAAACTACCAGCTGTTAAGGAATGTTACAGGCAATTCTCATACATAATCAAGGCTAAGAGCCAGAATAAACAAACATTGGCTGGTTAAAAAAGAAAGAATACAGAGGGGGAGCATACAACAAGGGCTGTCACCATTTATATTTTAACTGAATAATTCAGTAAAGCTGCAGTCACTAAAACACATCACTTCCCACAACAAAAAAGCATTGATAACAGGAGGGCCGTCCTACCTTTAATAGTTCATTAATAATCGAGCAATGGCAGGATATTGTAAATGAATAGGGAATGAAAGTGTGAGAGTGGGAAACAATGGACACTACCGGTTAGTTCAGCAGGACGACAGGTAAACATGAAGGAAGTTGGCATTCTTCAGGAAGCATTTAACACTAGAAGAGGGTTTTCTTTCCCGTTGAGCTAATACAGGCTAATCATAGCTATTATGTGACCATTAGTACAGTAACATTCGGAACATACAAATACATTAAAAGGATTTGGTCTCAAGACTAATTCTTTACTTATTTAAAGTGTGTTTTTGGAACCTGAGTTACGCATGTATCTCATGAGTGTAAAACCAACCAATCAGACGACCTCCCTCCCCTCATTCCCTCCAGATTCAAGTTGAACTACACCTTCAATATGTGACAGACAGGTGACTTCCCTCCTTTGCATCATCCTCACATTCCAATGAACCAACGGAATGTTTCAAAAACCAGTCTACTTTTAAAGTGTCTTCAATCGACATTTCAGGGCACAAAAACAACCTCTTATTGTTTCTTGTTTGAAGTTGAACTAAACATATTGACAGTTGGTATTTAAGTGTTCATTCCACTCACACATACAGAAATAAGTAGGCATCCATTCATTAAACCACACTTGGTTACTGGAAGTAACAAGATGTTTAAGGTGATCTTCATCTTCATCCTGAATCACAATCTCCACGTCTGTTCCATGCAGTCTAAACTCAGAGTGGTTCTTATTTCATGAATATTTTCATACCACGTCCTGCTTTGGTACGTCTCATATTCACAACCGCGGGTACTTTTACTTTATGTGCAAGTGTGTCCTGTAACGCTCATCCATGAACAATAAAACAGTTGAAATCACAGTTTGTGTGCGCACACAATAGGCATTCCTCTCCATTTCACTCCTAAAAAGTGCATGTTTCTGTGTGTGTGTGTGTTTGTTTCTAAAGCATGTAAGATGCAGGTAGGCAGCTCTGTGATGATTTGAAGGGGCAAGCTGAAGAGTGAAGGAGTCAAGACATTGACTGGTGGCTTAAACCACATGCTTGTCAGCATAGTCTGCTGACCAATGGTCAGGCAAAAGGTCACAAGGCCTACAAGGTTGCCAATAGGAGGAGGACACATCCCCTTTCAGTTTGCTTTAGATAGTAGGTGGACACAAAAAGCTAAAGGCGAAGAGACAAACTTTTGGTCCTCAGTTACCGGCCTCTCCCCGTATGGACGCCGAGTGGCACCGACATGAAATGGGACCACTTTTTGTCAGAGAGAGGGGGATGCGTTCCAATGAGCTGCACTGCTCATGCTAGACTGTGGCTTGTAGCAGAGCTCAAGCAATGACGGTAGTTAAAAAGTTCCCCACCGTGTACAGCTTAAGCCCACCTGTGGTTATTGTCAAAGGTAGAGGAGAGTTTGATGGTCATGTTGCTGAGTTACTTATTCAAGAGGTGAAAGTTCCTCCCTTTATTACAGTTCTGAACCAAAGCAGAAGCTCAGGATGACGTAGGCTGAGAGTTTCAAACCTGTCCTTGGTTGAGAGTTAAAAGCCCGACTCGCTGGGTAATTCCTCAGTTAGGAGGTGGAGTTTCCTTTAAATAAATTCTGGACCCAGGCGAGGGGCGTGGCCTGATGTCAGGAGTCATCATCTGTGTCCTCAATCAAAACTTTGGTGTCACGGGTTTTGGACCTGAAATGGAAACATGTAGTTCAGAGCGTGAAGGCTTCCAGTACAAGTTAGCATGTTGATAGCACGTGCACATACGGGTGGAAAGGTTACCATCTCTGCTGACACTTAATTGTCAGGGGGGAAAACGCATTCTTATTCTTTCACAAATCAATGACCAGCTCGGTGGTCTTTCCAACAACTTTCAAAATAGCAGAAAAATAATTCAACCTCCATCTGGAGGCCAGGTCGTTGCCTTGGAAACAGTACAGCAGTGTTATCTGAGAACACTGACCCTGGTACTGTCTGTCAGAAGGAAAAGGTTTAACTCTAAGCTGCTGACCCCAAATGCCTCTGCGTTGTACAGGCTGCACAGTCACAGCCTTATGCGCACGCACGCTCATTTCACACTTTCCTGCACCGTTGTTCCCTCTCCCCTTTGCTTGTGACCCACCAGCTTTTCTTTTTTTTAAGCTTGCTGCTCAAACTTCCCAATCTGCAGTACCCCATCCACGCTGTAGGTTCCACACTCACTGTGAGGCCAGTCGTGGTCTGCGCAGACTCATGCTGTAGCTCCTCTTCCAGCTCTTCTTGCCCTGCCGGTTCCTGACTCCGTCTTCCTGGTCCATCATCTGCTCCAGCAGTGTCTGGTCGTCAGCATTGAGCGGAGCCACGCTGATGTCTCTGACTGCCCTGAACTCACCACAGTTATTCAGGTGTTCGTTCTCCAATCGGAAGAAGTTCCACACAAAACGTCTGAAGGAGAAGCACCGACTGTTAGAAGCCCATCTGACTTCCACACCGTACATCACGTATTAAACATTCAAGAAATGACAGTGGTCCTCATCCTCATGTCAGTCACTAATGCCTTCATCCACATTAGGGGATACATGGGTGATGGGTGAATGGAAGACAATAGTTCATATATTTAATGGCAGGTAAAAGATCATAATATTTGAGGGACAAAACTGTATTTTGGATTCTACTTGATACATAACTCAAGAAATGACTAAAGGGACTAAGTGAATAAATGTAATTACAAACAATCCTGATAACAAATTAACTAATCTAATCATGTTTGATAATCATGTTAAACATTTGCTTTTTACAGCTTGCAATAAAGAATATCTATTATTATCTTTGGAACTGACATTTTATGAAATAATGGATGAGGGAGATAATAATTGGCTGATAATTTCTCCCCTTAGGACCTAAGGGGAGGAAAAAAAGAATGGAGTGAAAGACACGTTATAAAAGAAAAAGTCCAAAAATAGAACAGTCGTGTATACCTGAAGACCTCCATCGGGGCAAGTATAGTGGCCAGGATGTCAGAGATGCCGTGAAACCCGGAGACCGTGCTGAGAGTGACCGTTAGAGTCCATGCGAAACGCAACAGCACATCCTCCACTATAGCGCTGTAGTAATAGGCCTGGGGAGGGACAGAACACTGTCACGTCATCACATGGCAGTGCACATAGTCTGGGGCTCCTGCCCCCCCCCCCTGCGTGGAGGCATACCTTGTGTGGGTAGACGATCTCCTCCCTCAGAAAAGTGTTCTCTCCTGCGTTGCGGTCAAACAGGCCCCAATCCATTTTCAGATCCCAGATGAGCGTGTAACATGAGCTGACCACCGAGCAGCCGACATACAAGTAGAGGAAGATCTTGGCGTCAGGGTGGGCTTCAGCTGAAAAGGAGAGACAGAGGGGTGTGGGGTTAGACACATGATGGAAATGTCAATCAAAGACGTTTGTTCCCAGTAACATATCAGAAATCTTTATTTTTCCCTTAAAGTTCCTGTCTTTTAACTATCTACAGCAGTGATTCTCAACTAGTGGGTCGTTTTTAATGGGTCGCGGGCCTTAGGCTGGGAAAATAAAAATTTGAATTAACAGCTGACTGTTTTTTTTTCTTCCTTTCCATTAAACTTGGTTTTGTGTTGGCATACGTATTCTTTCTCCATACTATCTCAGGTTCAAACTGGACCATATTTTCATTAAATAAATTTGAGAAGTTGAGAATGTTCCTCAATTGGGTCGCGGCTTGTTATTAAGGGGTGATGGTGGGTCCCGGAGCCAGACCAGTTGAGAACCACTGATCTACAGTATATATATATATATATATATATATATATATATATATTACACCAATCAGACTCCAGCAGGGCCTGTTGACCCGACCAACCAGCTCAGCGGGTTCTCCTATGGCCAGGAGGACACCATCCCCGCTGAAGCTAAACGGGACTGACTGTAGCACATTGTTTGACCCTGAAGCAGGAAAATGGGACCGCTAAATCCCACAGAAAAATAAAACAGGGTTGAACCGGCTTAGAAACCCTTCGGACCTGTATAGTTCTCTCTCATGGTCTTTGGGAGAATCTCCAATGGGAAACTGGAATGAACATCCCAAAGAAAACTTGTTCTAGTTGTAAGTGTAATGTAATCAATGTTGACAGGATGCAAGCAAAGAACACATCTTACTTACTAAATTATTTAAAATAGTAAAAGACAGGGAAGATGTGTCGTCTCCATTGTACCTTTATGTGTGCTGTATAGCGCAGCGAAGGTGACAACAAAGAAGGAAGTGGAATATTTCCCAGCGTTCACCAGGTGAGGGAATGCCCGTTTGGTGTCACGGTAACGTCGAAGACACTGGACAAACCGGAACCAAGCGGGAAGACACTGGATGACCGCACGGACGCCATAGGAGTAGGAATTACACACGTCTTTACCTGCAGAGAGTGGAAGGCCAGCAGCATTGTTACCACGAGGTGGACAAGAGGCTTCACAGCCTTTAATCGTTCGCTCTCACCTTCACTGCTAACGAGCCCGTCGTGTTTTGTCCAGTCCAGTTCAAAACTGTAGAAACAGATCATATACTCCAGATCCATGAGAACCACACCAAGAGAGTTTAACTGGTCAGCCAACCAGAAGTCTGCAAAGCCCACATGGTGAAACGGAGCCGTCACCACCCGGAACTGTGAAGGAAGGGGCCGAGGAGCGAGGAAAATTCAGACACAGCGTATCACTTAATACACCAATAACATCCCTGCATGTTAACAAACCAGAAACATTCCAGCAGTTCAATGTTTAACGTATGATATTCTCAGTAATGACAATTTTATCAATAGCTCCAACCGTGAACATAAATGTCTCCACCATCTGGCCCCACCCGATTTCCACTGCTAAGACTACACATGACTGTCACCATAGTTTACAGCAGGTACAGAAATAATATAAATTATAAATGACACATTTAGATATATTTTGGTGGAATCATAAATAAAAAAAGATAATTAAGGGCACAGAGAGAAATTAAGTGGCTGGATGGAAGACAATTGTGCCCCCCCCCCTCCTCTAGCAATGGGAGAATGTAACTAAGTACATGTAGAATACTTACGTGCAATTTGAAGGTACTTGAAAATGTTTTTTCTCGATTACCATATTTGTTTGACAAAACAAGTTAATAGTAAGGCTGCTTTGCACATTCAGATTCTTAATACAAAATATAATCAAATAATAAATGAGACTATATTACAGCCCAAATATCATGATTAATCATTGTATTATTTAAGGCGTCTTTCTGTAAGAAGTCCGTTCAAAAATATTCACATATATCCTCACAAAATGACTAAAAAGCACTGAAGGGAAATCATATGTCAACGTATTATTTTTAATTCAAATGTTAAAACAAACGTTTAAGGGGGTTGAAGTATGTAGCTCTGAAATAACTCATCAATTCTATGGACCATTTCATTCAAAGTTATTCTGGACAAAAAGAAATACTGGTACATATTGAGTCTTATGGTTTCACTGCAGCCCAAATGCAGGAGGGAGAGAATTAAACAGTGGTGATAAATACAAGGTCATTTGTCATTGTGTGATGGTACCAAGAGTTTGAGCAGCCAGAAGCGTGACTTGTAGTAGCACGTCTTGAAGGGGTTGATGAGGAAGAGGAAGAAGAGGCCGTAGAGGGCAAGAGGGTTAGCCTGCATTGGTACCAGGATGCTATTACTGAAGAGACAGGACAGCAGGCTGACACACCACAGCACCCCCAACAGACCTGCAATCTACACACGCGCACACACACACACACACAAAACACTCAACAACTGATAGCAATCTCATGGTTTTTAGTAATTGTTGAATACAATGTGTGTATGGACCTCAAACAGATGCTGGTGTGACAGGTTGTTTCTGGGGTTGAGTTCAAAAATGAGTACATGGTTGACTCCTGCCTGCCTCCAGCCGTACGTGTTGATGCCTAAAAACACACAAAAAAACACTTTCTAAGTTAAAAACTAATGGGATTCAACAGTGTTTTTGTTCTTCTTTCCTCGTCCCGAGTTAAATGAAAAGATATTCTAGACTCAATTTAGCATAGTATCACATGTGTGTCCATACCTAACAGGAAGAGGAACTCTATCAACAGGAAGCCTCCTCTGTAGATCCTGACCATTGGCCAAACATCCCCATTGAGGATCACCACAATTCCTAGTGATCAGAGGAGCAAGGCAGACAAGTTTATTTGTATCGCACATTTCAACAACGAGGTAACTCAAAGTGCTTCAAATACAAAACATTAAAAGCATCAAAACATAAGGAAAATGAACCCCTCCCTTGTCCCTCCCCTAAGAAACAACAACATTCGGATTCAGTCTCCTCTCCCCCTCTCTCCACCCACCCATTATTTCAAAATACAAGCCCCATGGAGGGAGTTCAATCATTAACATTTGTGAGGAGGCCTATCAATAACCTCGCCGTGTGTATAACAAGCATTCTGATCATGTAGTCACTCCCTCTCTCCACCTTGGTCCCCCACCCAATCCAACAATTTCAAAATGAAAGTCCCATGGAGGGAATTCTTACTGTTGATTGTAAGTTTTACCTGCAATAACCACTGTAACCAGTAAGACCAGGAATACTCCGCAGTACAACCCCACTCTAAAGGTAGTCCACGCAGGAGCAGGCTGCAGGCAGACAGAGAAACACAGTCATGCTCAGAGCACCAAGAGGAAAACAGGATGATTATTAACAAAAGCCTGACATTCTATAATGATTGTGACAATACTGCTGGGGTTTAATTAAAAGGATGGACTTGGAAATAACTGGGCAACCCTTCAAGATTAATGCGACTCAGTACACAAACAAATAAATATCTAATATAAATAACAATCAAACTCTCCTCTTATTTGTATTGTGTCATCATAGAGACAATCATATTATAACATGAACCAAACAGACTCCTATATGAGGGATGGAAGGTTTAGAGATTGTGTTTCTGATTTGTGTGTGTGTGTGCGTGTGTGAGAGATAGAGTCACCTGTGCAGCTCCAAGGGGGGGCACCCTCAGCCTCTTCATGGCCCTCTGCCTGTCACCACCTTCCAACTCTGTAGTGACCAACGCCTGAAAGACGCAGAGTGAGGATTTTGAATATTGATTAACTGATTATGGTGATGAAGTGTGTCTTACCAAACTGCTTGAGTATCAGATATTTGCTAAAGAAATGCAGATTAAGAAGAATATGTGAATACCAGCATGACTACATGAATATCTACACGTGTGGGTGAGCACCTCGGTCTCAGAGATGAGCTGAGTGATTTTCTTGCATGTGTAAAATGGTGCCACTTCTACATGGACGACCCTCCAGTCGGCCCCCCTCGACGTCTCCAGAATCTTATCATGCTTCTTCAGGATCTTCCTGAAACCTGTGAAGTTCAGGTTCTACAGAGACACGGAGGGGGGGGGGGTCGAGGGAGAGAGAGAACAAATGAAAGAATTGAACCCGTCAAAACGATCAATAACTATCAGCAGTTGTGATCTAAGCCATATACTGTATCTAAGTGGACATCATGATAAAACTCAATACACCCACACACACATACATATATATAATACATATATATAATATACACACACACATATATATAATACATATATATAATATACACACACACATATATATATATAATTATTTTTTATACATAAAAAAAAATATATATATATATATATTTTTACAGCCAGAAAAAAATTGAAATTGAAATAGAATAGAAAAAAGAATTGAAAGTAAACTTTCATTGTTCTAACAGCTGAAGGCCTGTGAGTCTACCTTTGAGAAAAATAACTTATATTTTGAACTAAATATGATATATTGTACTTTATTTGGCAGAAGCAGGGCTAAGAACTTGGTTGATTGCCACGGTATATAAATCTCGTGCAGCCATTTGATGTTTCCAGAACTCACAGGGTAGCCACATGTTGCAGCAGTGGACACGGTGTCACCAAAGGTACAGCTGCTGACTCGGTTGTTTTTTGTTGGACGTGCAAAGTAGGAAAAACAACACTAGGAGTTGCACAGACCTGATCCTGCTTCTGACTTTGAAGGGGTGTGAACATGCACCTGGTAGTTCTGCAGCAGGATGAGGCTGAGGTAGAACTCTGAGAAGGCCAGCTGCAGGTCCTTTATGTTTCTGTGTTTGCATCGCTCCTGCTGAGACAGGGCAAACACCGTCTTTCTCCTTCTCAGGCTCCGTTCATTAGCCCAGCTCTCCCTCTGGGCGTCCAGCGATGACTGCAGCTCATTCTGCAGGGTGGCAAATCGCCGCTGAGCCTCAGCTAGCTTTTCTAGAACGAAAAAGAGAGATGTTTTTACAGATAGAAAGCCTTGGTAATGTCGATAATAAACACAAGCAACTGTCATATCTATATCCGAATGATGATAACTAGCTCTACAGAACATGAGGGTGTGAGTGTGGAAGTAGTTGTAGTCATTACCAGAGTAGAAGGTGTTGATCTTGGCCAGCTCTTTTTCACATGTCTGGAAGAACGTCTCCTCAAACTTGGCATAGTACCTCTTAACTGTATCCTCGTCTGTGACTGCAAGGAAAAAAGGAGTTTGTAGATAAGTGAACCTTCATGAACAGACTGAACACTCTGATGTCACAGCATCAATTAAACCCCCCGAATGTACATCCAAAACAATAGGGAGGAAAGAAAGGAGAACAGGAAAAAGGACAGCAAGGTTTTGTGCATCAAAGCGCAATAATGTGCTCGGACCAGTAGGTGGAGCAGTGAAACAGCAGCAGGGAGATCATTTCCACTCTTCTTATGTGTGTAGGTCAAAGGTTAATAATAATAATAAATACATTTGAAGTTGACTTCGAAACTTCTCCCAAAAAGATGTGTATGTTTATTGCGTGTCACTCTGTTTGAGAAAAGTCTCATGAAATCTATATCAAACTTTATGGCAGTTTCTTTGGTGGTGTACCTCCTATGTTGCAACATCAGCTACACTAATTAACTATGTTGCTTTGAAATGCTGCACAACCAAATAACCTTATTTTGTTTCACCTCAATCATGTCAAAGACAATGTCCCACCAGCCGGTGTATTGTGCACCATCTCATATTCTGCATTCTGCTTTGAGAGAATGTGTCAGAAATATTGCAACAGTCTGTCTCCGTTTCCCAAATCTCCACATCTGCATCTAGGACCATGTTGCTCTCATAACGGATTATGTACACCTCGGACAGCCAAGAGTAAGCAGGGCTTTAGGGGGTCTCTATCTTGTGAGGTTATCTGACAGCAGTACAGCCCCGTTCCTTTCGTCACATGCCGTCTTCCCTTACACACAAAGCCATGCACTGGAGCCGTGTGCTGTCCGTCAAATATCTGAAATCTATAACACAAGTTCATCAGAAAAATAACGGATAGGGTGAACTCAATTTAGAAGTTAACCTTTTGAAGTTTGCACAGCGTCAACAGCTCCATGTTTTGGGATCGTTCTGTGTAACGGCCTGGGTTATTAGAGCTGGGCGGCATGGCCAAAAATTCAAATGGCGTTTTTTTGTATGCTTCTGGCAGTGCGACGGTACATCACGGTATTTGTTATTCACACACTCTTTCTGTGTTTTCATGAAGCGACAGAGATTCTTCTGCTAGTGATTGCAGGCAAGCTGTCCCCAGCATGCAGCTCTGTGCTGTAAACTTATAAACTTACAATTATCAGTGTTACAAATTGATTATGTGTCACAAACTGTGGTTCTTCACCCTGTTAAAGAGCGTTAGTTGTGGGTTATTAATTGTAATGTAGTTATAACCATGACTCCATCTTTACACGTAGGACAAGTATCGCCGACGCTGCGCCTTCCACGGTTAGTGTTAATTTCCCGTTCCTACCATAGAGTCAAATGTTTTTTACATCATTTTACCAGAAAAAGGTCCTGTAATTTCATCCCAGAAAGGACGGCGTGGACCTGTGCAGCCAACCACTAACTTGTACCCATTGTCACGACAACATCAAGCTAACAACAGAGCAGCCGGGCGCTTCTGAGTCACACTCGGTGATCCACTGAGCTTCAGACCGGCTGCTTTTAGACGAGACACCAAATTAACTGAATCAGAGCGTCCCAACAGCCCCCCTCCTCTCACACTAGTGCACAGAAAGCCACCACAGACCGCATGCAGTAATCTCCTTATCCTTTTTTGGCCTTATTCTGCTCTTTTTGCTGTGTCTGGAGTCAAGTCATAATGATTATTATCATGATAACACGTCTGTCTCTCGGTAATAGGCTGTACTTTCCATTGGGCAATCAATGTTTTTTAGCACCACCCTGCTTTACAGTCACACAGCCTTGAACTGAACAGTACTACACGTTGGATCATGTAAGGATGCAGGGCTTTCCTTGGTAGGAAATGTGCACACCAACAGGATCCGCACTGCTACCATTAAATATAGCATGCTCATCCAGAAAACCTCTTTATTTCTGTACTATTACTGTGCCACTACAAACAAAAGACAAATCAACAAGCCACTGCTTACAATGAAGCTTGGCCCACAACAAAAGACTACAGAGTCATTATCAGGAAGCAAACTCCTGCCCTAAACTGTTCCCCATGTATTTTAGATCAAAGACAAGTCACTGAAAATTTCCTAAAATAAACTGAAGGGGGGAATAACGGCAGTCAGGTGGATCTAGTCATTAGGCACACGATGAGAATGGAACAGGCGGTGGATCACAGAAATGAGCAACATGTGACTGTAGCTATTCGTCTGGACTATGTGGGACAACAGCTTCAATAAAGTAAAGTAGTGGACAAATCAAACATGATGGGGAAAAGAGGATCTGAGAATAATGATTGAAATTCATTCAGGGTGAATGTCTCAGTCTCACTACGAACCAGCTAGACCAGGGGTGTCAAACTCCTCAGGTAGGGGCCCCACACTGTCCACATGTCACGCGGACCGACGGGGGGGGGGATCCTGCAGATAGCAAGGCTGAACCATGGGAATGTTATGCCACATGATTTGAGGAGCACTCTTTGTACTGCACAGGGTAATGTCCTGTTGTATACAGGAAGTGCAGCAGCACACAGATTCTGCTCAGCAGCTGGACGATGAAAAGGAGAAGACTGCTGTCCCTCATGATCAACTACATGCACAATCCGATTCAGTGAGGAACATATGTGATATGTGTTGTGTACATTAACCATAAGGTGCACAACATGGTTAGCTTAGAAATATCAGTCATGGTGGCTACTTGTACAAAAAGCTTTACTGAAACCTTGCAGATCAAAGTGTGGAAATGTTTCACGTGATGCTGTCGCAGTGAGGGTCATGTGATCACGGTAGCCAACGGCGTTTGGTCCTAGGGGCCGCGGTATTACTGCCTCTGGTCCCAATTACTGCATGGATACGCTGAATAGTAAGTAGTAGTAGTAATAGTAAATAGGGAGAGAGCTGTCCTAGCATTGAGAACAATACCGGTACCATGTTAACAAACACCATGACATTTCCCTTGTTTCACCTGCCAGGGCCCGGAGTGGTTTTCATAGCACAACAGCTCTAACAGAGCTCCGAACTGGAGGCATGGGGCGGGGGGGTTAGCATGTGTGCTAGGCTTCGGTCTCTTTTGATGCCCTGTAAAAAGCTCTTTATTAACTTACATTGTTAAACGGCTGATCAGGATTTTCTCAGTTTCCAATTATGTTGCATCATATTCTAACTGAAAATTGGCCCCATTAGTGGTGAAACTATTTTGGCAACCTTGAAAATGAGATGAAAGGAAAGGTAGCAGGAAAGGCGTAGTGCGCTAGTCAGTGATTGGGGGGTGGAGTGCAGGGCACCACAGGGCCTGTCATTACATGAGGAAAAAGAACTGCTTCATTTTGAAGGCCTTACATGTTGGTCATACAGGGGCTGTTGTTAGAGTATTTATACAAAGACACATAATTAGGCTAGAATTCAGGATGAGGTAGCCCTACGTAAAAGTAAGTGAGGAGCTGGAGGTTAAAGTTGATACAAAATACAACATAACAAAGACGCAAACTGCCTTCACATTGATGTTTATTCCAGGTGAACTTCCACCACTAATAAGATGATTATGAGGTCTGAGAAGAATTCTCTCAGTGTATACACTGGTACACTAATTCTACCTGCTCTAAAAACGTTTTACTGCACCCTTTGGTGCAGACACCCTTTTAGATTTTGAATTCAGAGGGCAAAAAGTGTGACAAAAATAATAATAAATAAATAAACAATATATATCATCATATATATATACAATCAATATCATCATGTCAAATGATATTATAACATAGAATGAACATTTAGTTCATTCATTACATTACAGGTCATTTAGCTGACGCTTTTATCCAAAGCGACTTGTCTTGATGTGACTTGATGTCATTTCAGCGGACTGTCCCATGAATGACAAAACCACTTATGGTCCACGTTTGTATCTCAGCAAAGCGATGGGCTATATGACCTCAATTTTATATCAGTATTTATTATATGTAGTATTATTATCACAGTATAACAGATATCACATCATGGTTTTAAAAATGAAAATGGGTTACTGCACTCAAAACATGTTTGGATTAAGGAATAAGGAATCTGTTCATGAACTCCAAACTGAGTATTCATTCACAGATTTACCGCTGGTGGGAGCGTGCTCACCTATGTGTGTGTGTGTGTGTGTGTGTGTGTGTGTGTGCATCGGGACGGAACCGCCGCGCATAGCGAGGAGTGGAAATTGTAAACGTGAAAAAAACACTTACAGACTGTCTTGGGGGGTGCCGCCCCCCGCCATCTTGGTTAGTCAATGGGAAATGAAAGGCATTTTGAATGCACACTTCACAGTCTGACATAAAAGGATTGTGCACTCATCTTCTATGTGTTATGATTCTTGGTCTTCTCTCTCATCCCAAACAACATATCTACTGTACTCAACTGCCTCAGGATTCAATGGGGTTCAAATCATTCAAGGAACACACTTCAATAGTGTTCCATGTCCAGGACAACTTCTCAGTGATGTGTGCGGGCGCGTGGAAATATTACCTTCAATAGATGGGGCCTGGTCCTGAGCAGCATACAGCATCTCTTTGAAAGCCTGCAGACATAAGATGAGAGGAACAATCGCATAATTGAACATTAAACGTTTACATAGAATGACATTACATTCTTCTGTGAAATGTTGTTAAAATGGCGAGTATTGTTCTACGAACCATCCCTGTCAGTCCTGTTTGCTGATTAGATGATTTAATCAATGTGTTTAATTAATGTGTTTTTGAATCCTTCTTATATTTTTAAGTAATCTTAACATATAATGCCAATGTGGAAAACAAGTCAATTTCATTTAAAAGTAAAGAGAAAAAAAATGTATAATTTATTTTTAAATTTCTGCAGATCTCCACCTGTCTGCACGCATACTTCCCCAATACCCATTTTTTTCTTGATACAATCCACCATGTTATGCTTACATAAAGAAGCTTTAGGTCAAAGGTCAAAGGTGTGATCATCGAATGTACTGTAATATTAAGTGAATAGGGATTGGTCGGGACAGTGAGGGATTTCAGATTCGGCTATCAGTTGAAGCCAGGGGAGAGAGTCATGGAATGCCTGGAGGCAGAAAGGAATTCAGCGTGGGAGGAGCTGCGTTTGAATGTGCAGCCAATCACATACGACTGCGGCACAAGGGACACGCTCTGCGGGACTCGAAGTGCTCTGCTGGAGAAGAGGCAGACAGAGGCCTCCTGAGAACCATTATTGATGGTGATATTACACTGGTCCAGGGAAGTCTTTATTACGTAAAATGTTCTACTATTCATACTCCAATGTTGCTCTATAAAGGCAAGTCAAGGCAATTTATTTGTATAGCGCTTTTCATACACATAAAAAGAGAAGAACCTTTCAGAAGGACAAACATCTCTGCGGCGCTCCATAAATAGTGGCCAGACGGAAGCCACTCCTCTGTAAAAAGCACACATCAGCCCGCCTGGAGTTTCCCAACAGGCACCTGAAGAAAAAAATCCTCTGGTCTGATGAAACAGAGATTGAACTCTTTGGCCTGAATGACAACTGTAGTGTCTGGAGGAAACCAGGCCCTGCTCATCACCTGGCCAGTGCCATCCCTACAGTGAAGCATGGCACACGCAGAATCATGCTATGGAATGTTCTTCAGCGGGAGGAACTGGGAGACCAGTCAGGAGGATGGAGGGAAAGATGAATGCAGCAATGTACAGAGACATCCTGGATGAAAACCAGCTCCAGAGCGCTCTGGGCCTCAGACTGGGCTTCCAACAGTACAACGACCCGAAGCACAAGCCACGACAGCAAAGGAGTGGGACAACTTGAGTGCCCCAGCCAGAGCAGTGACTTAAACCAGATTTAACATCTGGAGAGATGTGATAATGTCTGTGCACCGACGCTCCCCATCCAACCTTAGAGGTCCTGCAGAGATGAACAGGAGTGAAACCGGTGTGCCAACCGTGCAGCATCAGAGTCAAAAAGACTTGAAATGATAAATGGACAGAACTTATGTAGCGCTTTTCTAGTCTACGGCCCCTCAAAGTGCTTTAAAACTTCATGTCATCATTCACCCATTCATACACTGATGACCGGAGCTACCACACACAGAGCCACCTGCCCATCGGTAACTAACATTCACACACTGTAGTGAACTACAGGAGCAGTGTTGGGGTTAAATGTCTTGCCCATGGACACATCAACATGCGAGTTAGCCAGGCCTGGGATTGAACCGCCAACCCTCCCCATTGGAGGACAACCGTGCTGCCCATTCACCCACAGATGCCCAATTGAGGCTGTAATTGCTGCCAAAAGGTATTGAGCAAAGACTGAATACTTATGTACATGTAATAGCTTTGTTCTTTATTTTCAATAAATTTGAAACAAATTTAATCAAGCTGTTTTCACTTTGTCACTGGGTGTGGTGTGTAGAATTGAGGAAAAAGATGAAAAGTTATAGCTAGCTTTTTTAAAGTAAATATCACTGAATTTCTTTTAATGTACATCGTGGTCGGTAAAAGTACATTTTGTTACAATATAGTAGAGTTGGATCAGAATTTTTTATACTTGTGTGAATATATTAAATTAAGACAATATTATTGTTCAAATAAAATAAACTTAATTTAAGTATGTGAAAATTATAAGATTCATTTGATTTCAATGTAAACCCCCAAAAGGCGTTACGGTTACATGATCCATTTTAGAAAAATAAACATGGGTTTAGTTTAATATGGGTTAACTCTACTCAAAACAGTTGGGCTGAATTAATACATGGAATTGTATACATAGATACATACATAGAAGATTTTTAACTGCACGTTTTAACCTGGTGAGCCCACAGTCTGGAAAAACAACCCACCAGAACTGCAAAATGAATGCTGACGTTGCACAGATGCATCACTATAATTCTACCTTTGCTGCTCTCCTTCCATCCAGTAATAATGCACTGCTGTTGCTCACCGTTTGGAAATCTGCAGCTCTGGTGTAGTCATTGAGGGCCTCAATGCTTTTGCGCCCACTTGAGGCGTATTATTTTTGCAATGTACGTGAAAAAGCATGGCGAGGTGTCTACAAACAAGCCGCACAGGTGAAAGCGCCGACTGCCTGTCGCGGAAAGTGAAAAGGGCAAATTGCACCTTTCCGTGTCATGCATATGCATTCACGGGTCAAAGTGGGAGTTTCCCATAAAGAGATGGCAGGGGATGCGTAAAGTGCGCCTAATTATGTACTCCGCAGTACGTACACACACCGTCTTGCGGTGGAAATTCTGCGCCTCGTTAAAGCAGGTGTAAACCAGAATGCGGGTTTCCTCGCATATGCCTTCTGGTGAAATGGCAGCAGTAATCCGAGCCTGGGTGCTGAAAGAATTTTTGCCACAAGGATCACACTTTTTCAGTTGAGTGAACAACAAATTCCGCATTACAGTTTGAGCAGCCATGCAATGTTATAGTTAGTGGAAGAAATCAAAGACGACATTGAATCTCCCACCCAGCGTTCACATTACATTACAGCAGGTGTTAAACTCCTCGCTACAATATAATTATTATCAGGATCATTTCAAACAGCGACAGCATCAGCAGTGGGAATATCGCAGTCTGCACTCAGCCGTATCACAGCACAAGTACACAACGCTTTGCTAGAGCGCACTAGTCCATACACACATTTCCCCACCACTAATGGCCAAATAACACAACAACTTTGGTGTCACTGAAGTTTTGTTTTCGCTGTTTTTACTTGGGCAGATCCATGATAGAAAGAAAGAAGGAGGTCCACTCAATTGAGAGTTTAAATGCTTGCAACGTGCGTTATAGTGGGAGGAGAAAGGCGCCGATTACCTGATGAACTACACGTTTTGTAAGTTTGACGTAAATTGAAGAATCACAGCGGGCGCTTTCTGCGCGTTTGCCGTGGCGCTGCGAACGCTACGTTTGCAAGCGTACGAGCATGAGGCCCTGAGACGCAGTACGTTCTAGTAGAGCAGGACAGTCTTCCTCTTTCAGGCTCCCTGGCTGAAGGGTCAGATAGTAGAAGTCAGATATTTCCCAATGCCAAAACAGCACAAGACGATAATGGCCTCACTGTCCCCTAACCCCCCCCCCAACGGTCTGCAGAACTGGCTTCTGCGGCAAAAAGCAGAGCGAGTGACGGTCACGCTCATGGCCTACTCAGCCAGCCTGTGCTCACTGTCGCAACAGCGCAGCCTGATCAATGAAAGTCCATTCGCCACTTACAACAGCCACTAAAGATCTGTTTGTGTTCACTTTAGTATTGCAGCATTGGATTGTGCTGGAATGTTTGGCGCTTGGCCCGTAGACTTTTTATTCATTCAAATGCACATCTTTAAGATCTAAGTTTAAATCAAAGATTTATAAGCATATAATATCACATTCACCCAGCACCAGTCAGACGTGAGTACATTTCATTTGTTTCATCAGGTCGAGTCAGTATCAGCACAAGTGTTTTTAAGTTGGCAGGGTAAAGTCCAGCTCGGAGGGGTCCACCCTTTCTAAGACAGGTTCCATATATTGATGAATCCTTGAATGTCCTCCTGACATTATCATGGAGGGGGGTGTTTCGAAAAGAAAGAACTTCCAAAAGCCCCTCATGCCAATTGTCTGTGGAAGCAGTATCTTTAGAAATCCAGAATCTGAGAATAGTCTTTCCTCAGTTTAGCGTTGTTTCGGACCAGTGAAAAGGGAAGCCTGCCTGAGCACCAACTGATGCAAACATTCAACATGGGGTGGTCTCAACCAGGTACGGCAGGACATGAGAACTAATAAAAATAAATTGCCAGCTTTCTAAAAATGCTGTGCCATTAATAGTAAAAAAAAAAACACAGTCATTTGTTTTCTTCAGTATTTGTAAGCCCTGCATGCATAGGCCTCTGTAATTATAGCCCACAGGGGATTTCAGCTCAACCACCAACTTCCACTGGAGCCATGCAACCCCGGCGCTTCATTTCAAATGGAAACAGGAAGTATACAAATCAAAATCAAAAGGTTGATTGTTCACATCGGAAAGCTACTCTATAGACTTTGGAACTCATCATTGTTGTGATGGTATCAACCATGGCAACCTGTGGTGCTGAGGGTGAGGCCAACGTTGAAGCTTTGCATGCATATGTTGAAAAAGTGCTCACACACACACATTAAACTGGCTTTCCCACACTTCCCCTGAGGTGTGTTTGAGTGTCTCAGTGTGTGTGGTCAGTAGGCAGGCTCAGCATGTGCTAAGGAGCAAGTTTCCAAAACAAAACACGCTGAGCTCAACAGGAAGGACAGCTCTGCTTATCTTCACAGATTACCCTACTTCTGTCCTTTTCCTCTTCTCCAGCTCTCACATGCCTACAGTTCCTCGCTCTCTCTCGCTCTCTCTCTTCCCACATCTCGTTTTGCCTTAGTGGAATACAGTCCAGTTGAAGGGCCTATCAGACATCATAATACAAATAATATTAAGTAATGTCAGTCAATACTCACAAGATGGACATTTAAACCTCTGGCAACATTAAAATCCCATCACCATGGGAAACCATAGAAATACTGTATAGCATGAAAGTTACAAAGAAACCAACTTGCATTTATTTTG